AGAGGGACATGGAGCTGATGCCATCTGTTGCATCCTTAGAAATGTCTGGCGATAGTCTTTTTGATCGTTTATTGTTAGTTCTACACGGGTTGTTAAGCAGTTGCCTGCCAAGTTGGCTGAGGACAAGGACTGCCAAGGATTTTTCTGGACTTGACCGTGAGACAGTGGAGAGTTTGCAGGTTTGATCTTTGTCATTTAGATTTAGTAGTCTCTCTTTTCTTTATATAAGTTTGTTTTGTCTTTACTTTAACTTTACCCTCTTTATTTTACCCTATATATTACCATAAGTTATTACCATAAGAAAAAAAGGAATTTTTAATGAGTTTGATTTCGTTTTATTGGATTTAACTTAGTAGTATACATTCATTATGTACTGTTGTGCTGATTGATTTTACTGCTGCTTGTTTTGGTAACCTAACCTAAATTTATTAGAAATGAGAGCTTTGAATGTTTTTTCTTGTTATTTTTAAGTTAAACATGTTATTATACACTACCTCATAATGATAGATTATCTTAATTTACTTGGAAGCAAAGTGTTCCAGTTGTACCAGACTGTGTTGGCTTTGGGGCCTATTCATTTTCTGAATATTCAGGATTGTAATCATGACCAGTATGTATGATATGCCTTCATGGTTTGTTAGCAGTTGAAGCTTGGGGAGGGCGGGGTATTTTGGACTTTTAGAATTCTAAAGGTAAAGAAAATTTCTGTAATAATGTGTGGAAATGAGTTCATGAGGTGTTGCTTTGGCTGTAATGAATTTAGTAATGAGAAGTATAAATAAAGCACGTTTGCTGCATGCTGAAGCCATACGTTATCATAGGCGCTTTTAATTTGACTGAATGTCTTCTTTGTTGTTTTGTGGACTTAGCAATTGGTCTTCCCTTCCGAAAGTGGGAATTTTTAGTTGTGGTTTATGATTTTATCATCACAGATAGTGTGACCTTTTCAATACTTTCATTTCATGTGAAAGAAAATATTCAGTTTTCTGCAAGTTACAAGTTCTTGAGATGTCCTTCCTGTCAATATGGAAAATTAATTACTTTTAATTGCTCTTTTGAAGTGAAATTGCTCTTATGAAGTGAACTATCTTTCTCATAAACATAAAGCTTTTAAGAGTTCTTGCTTTATTTTGTAAAAGTTACTATTTAAAGTGAAGTTGGCATTGGAATGAAATGAAAGATGACTTCTTACTCACCTTACTTTTTTGTCTGTGGATGCAGAATGAATTAGATTCTATGCAATTGCCTGAGATGATTAGATGGCGTATCCAAGCAGCAATGCCAATATTATTTCCTTCTTTTCGCAATTTGATCTCCTGCCACGCTCCTTCTATCCCATTTGGTGCTTTTAGTTCACTTCAACCCAGCATTTATGTCCCTGGATCGTACACTGGAACTTTGAACCCACCCCAGAGACAGGTTGCATTGGCACGAACTGTAAATAATATACCAGGAAAATCCAAGTCAATGCCATTGCTACAGGAGTATGATATGGAAATTGACCCATGGACACTTTTGGAAGATGGAGCAGGATCAGGTCCATCTTCAAGTAGCACTGCTGTCATTGGAAGCAGTGACCATGCTAATCTTCGAGCCTCAAGTTGGCTTAAGGGGGCTGTAAGAGTGAGACGGACAGACCTGACATATATAGGTGCTGTGGATGATGACAGCTGATTTTAGGTTTGACTTCATTTTTGATTTGGTATAAGGTTACCAAACCCCCCCCCAAACAACAGGTAATATAATGCATCATTTGTTGTGCATATTGGCATCTGGGTCACATATGTTGCCTGTCTCATGTTTAATGGTGGAGGGGGAATTGTTGGGAGGGGGTTTTTTTTTTCACAGTTGGGGGGTTGGGAAGGTGGGCTGGGCATGCTGGAGACCTTGTAGAAGAATGTCAAGATGTGCTTATGGAGGCCATTTATTCAGCATTGAGAGCTTATAGAACTACTGTCGTTTTATGCTCCCCCACCATCTGGGCCGTATACGCAGGTGCGGTTCAGAGTCTTTGTTGTATATATAGAGATAATTTTTCAGTTTACCCAATTGATGGAGTAAAATATCTCTAGAATGACACGTGTAGCTGTTCCATTGCTAATCAATCTTTTGCCTCCACTTACCTCTCTCCTTCAAACACACACACACATGGACATGCCGAACACATGCACATCCCATGTATAGAAATTCGTAAAATACTTGTGTTGCAATCATACATACGTTACTGCCGACTTAAATATGTTTGTACATGTCCGAGGATTAATATTTTCCAAGGTGGAGGGCATGTAGTTCCTATACTTAAATTCTTAAAACATCAGCTTCTGCATACTTAAATTGATTTCTACAGACATTTCTGATATCAAGAAGGTGTCATTGTTGGATAGGCATCGTTTGGTCACAAGACCCTACCTAGAATTTGTAATATGTCTTTGTGGGTATACAAAGACAACACCATGTTCCTTGATTTTACGGATTTAAGAGATTTGGTTTTTTGAACTATAAATCTCTGATTGACAGTGTTGGTCAATGATAGCTATCTTAGCAGTTAGATTTTCCGATTTGATGCAATAAGAGTCTGAAGATGGATGGCTACATGCATTTGTATATTTTAGTTGTCAATGAATAACTGTTAATGGTTCAATGCTCTGATTCATTTGAAATGAATCAGGCGTTGTCTTAAGACTTCAATGTTAAATTGATGCATCTGATGTAAAGATCAAACAGGGAGAAAACACAATGAGTTGAGTTTCTTCTATGGGGCCTTCGTGTCGTTCCTTCTTTTGATGAAAATATAGTTTTAACGCATCGATTGTTATACGAGAAAATTGATTACATTTCAGCTATTTGAAGAGTACTTTATCTGATCTAAAATCTGAACATTAAAAAAAAAAAAAAAAAAGCTGATCATAGTAATGAACTTTAATAGGGCCAAATCCAATGGTCGAAAAATGAAATTCTTCTATCAGAAATGGACAACTTAAACCTATTCCAAGTCTGAGGCCAAATAAGAAAATACAGTTTTTAAAGTTTATTGGTTATTCGGCTCAGTCTTGATTCGTTCTATCTGGATCTTTACCTGACGGTTCTTTCTTTACTATTACATTATATTGTTGGCACATTCAATTATAGTCTCTCAGTGGGGGACCATAGCTTCCTGTTTATTTATTCTGTGGTCATTGGGCCTTTACTTTTAGTTATGATATGGTATATAGTATAGGCTTCCTGTGCAAAGAAGATTTTACTATAAGTTTATTAATTTTTGAGCTCTCAGCTTAAGCATTTAGATGGTGTGATTCATTGATTAGTCTCAGTTTTCACTATATTTATTTTTATTTTTAATTCACAAAATGTACGTGATGGACCTGTCAAGTGGGCTTTGTTCACACTTTTCCACACGTGAGAGGATATGTAAAAACTAATCTTAGATTATTATATACAACTAAATTAATAGCTTAAGCTTTTACTGTATTGAGACAATGCTGAAACATTATTGTTATCATTATATGGCATAAAATGCTATCATTATTATTAACGTCTTCTCCTTGACCGTCTCTGCCTCTGCCTCTGCCTCTGCCTCCTTTTGCCTGCTTCTGGTTGGAGAGGTCAACTTGAACCCTGACTCCCTGTGGCCTGTGCGGTTATGGTCAAGGCCAAGGAATCAAAATTGAGGAAAAGTACTACTACTCTCCAATATTTGTTATTATTTCATTTTTCATCTCTGTTCTATCCCTAGCCTTCTGTCTCTGAATAAATTTAGAAATGGACGCTCCAGAAATGAAAGATATATAGACTGATGACTAGTGCAATATATTTCTTGCTCATCTTTCTTTTAAAATAGTTGTCTCCAACTTTCTCTCTCCATCTGCAACTCCAGCAGTACTCCATCCTATAGTTTTCTCTAAGTACGTTCATCAACTTAACATTTTCCACCTTCTTTTTCTTCTCCTTTGTTCTTTTAGGTTTAAGGGCAAGATGGTAGCTGTGGGAACATCAGTTAATCTTGAATTATTCCTGTATAGTTTAAAATTATTGTTGTTTTTAGTTTAAGATCAGGTTAAACTATGTTCTTTGCTTTTGTTTTTCTTGACCTACTTTTTTCTATCATCTTTTCACAGCTGATGAAAAACTACTTAAACAATAAAACCTCAAAATTCTGTGGGTTTTTTTTTCTACCCTACATGTCCCACTTTCCCTGGAAATTAAATATAGCTTGTATATTTTATTTTCTTTTTTAAAGTAGAATATATATGTTTATGTTCTATCAAACAATTTTGAATCTTTGATACAGGCTTCCGAGTCCTTTTGCTTTTGGTTGACTTGGTGGAACTATCGACACAATGGATCAAGAGAAGGGGGTGAATGGCGCCCGCTGCTGCTGCTGCTGGTATTGATGTGACAGAGAGGAAGACTTTGTCCCAAGGCAAAGCTGAGGGCTTGGAGGAGTGTTTGGAAGAGAACAAAGGAGACAACACCAAATGCAAGGATAAGGTTAAAGCTTTCAAATCTTCCACATCATCTTCTTCTTCTTCTTCTTCTTCTTCTTCTCCTCCAAGAAAACCCTTAATGCCTATAAGACTAAGGAGTGGTTCGTTGACTGATGTTTGAATGGCTTAGTTGGTATCCATTTCCCTTTTCCACAGTGGATGAAGTGATGATGTTGCCTTGTTGGAGTACATAATTGGGAAATTTTTATTTCCGATTGTTATTTCACAGGTTGTCAAAATTGCAGTTGAATTAATGAGAACCTGTATCTTCAAGTGCAATACAGAATAGGAACCGAAAAAATACAGGGGGACGGGGGGGCTAAAAACATTGTGGTGTTAGAATTGCATGATTTGTTTAAAATGATACTAATGGACAAATTGGTTCCCATGTAACAGCAATTAAAATATGCATGGAATTATAAAGAAATATTGCTAGGTTTATCAACCAGATTATGTTCTTGGTTTCTTGTTAAAATGGATGAACGACCACAAATGACTTTGGGGTTGAGTTAGCCCTCTCTTTGATATTTGTTACTGATTGGAATATACTTTTTTACTCTTGGTTTCTTATTGTTCTGTCTACAAAAAAGACATCTTCAATCCAAGCAACAATGTTGAAAGCGAGACCTTCTAACACTCTTGAGTAGCTCTCCAGGATTGCTTGGCCCACATCCTGCAACAAAGAATATTCATTAATGGAAGAACTTCTAACACTCAATTTCAGTGCTGCTAAATAGAAAAAACGCACGGATAGCTTTTCACCTACCCGATTGTATTGAATCTTGCATGTGTCCAAGGACGTCTGTGAAAGTTCAGGATACCTCTGCTTCAAGGCAAATAACAAGCTCTCTGCTCTTTCAGCCAATATATGATTTTTGTCACTTCGATCAACATCAGACATCAAGTCTTTTACCATGCTCCATGACGATTTTGAATGGCTTATGCATGCTTTACGTCTCCATGTATACATTGAAGCTTCAACGCGGTCTGCAAGCTCAAGTGCTTCATGTTCGGATGCTATATTCAGACAATCAAGCAGATATTCAGGGGAAAATTTTTCTGTGGCATACATGAAACGGTAAATTTGGTCTCCAATACTGGCTCTTCCGCTCTGTAGATGAAAGGAGTTTCCGCATGGAAAATAGAGTTAGAAAAAAGAAATTTGTCGTATATTTCAGCTATGGATTGGCAATGCTTGTTCTAGAAAAAAAATGCAATTGGGTCTTGCTTCAAATTTTGAGCAGCAATTTGATCGCCGGAAGGACTAACCTTTGGAAGAGATAACATGTACGAGTCTGGTATTTCCATCTCAGCAAGAACACTACTGTTGATCGCCATAGCCGCCTTGTGAATTTGATTAGCACAGTCACGTTTGTGTCGCAAGTGTTTCCTTGCTTTCTCAGAGAGACCACCTGAAGGAACGCATGGCACTGGCACCCACCATTTCTCATCGTTCCTCTGAACAACCCTTCTAAATGAGCCTGTACGAGTGGATTTAGAGGACATACTCCCTTGCTCTGCATACCAGAATTCTCTGTCCTGGAAACTATCCAGTATTTCCTGTAAAAAGATGTTAGCAGCTATGAAATAAGCTTTTCAACTAGAAAAGATTGTGATTTTTTTCACAATGAGCTTGTCTTACAATAAGCATTGCATCCAACTTTCTCAGTGCAGGAAGATTGATATAAATATCTGATCTTGGTCTGCTTTCCAGTATCTAAAAAGTCAAAAACATCATGTTAAAGCAGAGAAGGATGACAAACCCCATCCAAAATTTGGTTTTGGATTATGAAATCTTACCTCAACAGCTGCTCCATTAAGCAAATTCTGTGACTTGGGAGTAAATTCCACAATGTAATCGCAGACAGATAAAAGACAGTCCATTTCTCTTTTCCAAAGTGCCTTCTTTTCAGGGTTTAAAGGCTCCAACCTCAAATTTTGACCAAATACAGTTGCTACAGAAATTAACATGTAACAGAAGTAAGCAATTTCATAGAATTGAATGACAACTAAAACAGTCATGTTTATGTTTGAAATATGTTATGTACCATAGAGATTGGTTATGGCATTTGAGATTGTAACCGCTGTGCAGACCCCTTTCCCACTTCCTGACATGTCTTCTCCCAGTAAAAGTTTTGCGAATCTTTCCTTCATCATTTCAAGTTCTGTCAACATAATTTGCACCAATTAGCATGAAAAAACAAACATAGTTTAGAATGGAAGACATATAACTCTGCCAAATATTTAACCTAAATCCAATGATTCCAGGTCATCAAGCTTTTCATCTGCAATACTTTTGCGCTGCTTTGTTCCAAGCCTGTTAAGAACAGCTTGATTCTGAGCCCCGGATCTTGTGTCCGGCCAATGAGAGGGTGAAGCTTCACTACAACAGCTGTTATCATCAACGGGGTCTGAAAATGCGGAGGTCTCAGAGTAAGTCCGGCAATACAAGAAAGAATCACCACTCATCGTTGAGTATCCTGGCGTTTCTTTCGTTGACTGATCATTTTGATCAATAGAAGAAGGAGAAGGTTGATAACCCAGATCATACTTTTCATCAGAATTTGACAAATTGTCCATTTGAGCCTTATTACTATTCTTGACTCTGCAAATAATCATGAAATTTGGTTAGTGGGGCTCAAGATTTGAGGACTTATAAATCATAATCCACAAACTGAACTGATGGGACTTTAAGACATGGTCCAAAACATGGCCCGGCAAAAATTGTGTTAAACTGAATTATTTACATTGGACAGAAGAAAAAGAAGAGAAAAGAAAAGAAAAAAGAATGGCCTATGGTTCTTGCCGAAACAAAAAAGCAAAAGATGTTTTGTTCACAGTCACAGGTCGTTGTTGCTATCAGATTCCAAATATAATTTATAGAAAATATGTAATAAAGTTTATGTTTAAAGCAATATATTTGTATCAAAGAGGTGAAACAAACTGACATTTGAAAATGTAAAGCCAACGGTTGATCATAATTCATAAAGCAACGGTCTTCCTTTACATTCTTTTCCAATAAGTTACCTTTAAAGGGCGTTTGAATTCGAAACCGTTGAAGGTAGCTAGCAATCTGAGGACCGTTTGAAACAGTTCCCTCCTAAGCATTTCTTTGTTTCTTGCTGCTGTTGTAACCTTTTCTTTCCAAAAGAAACACTTTCTTTTTGCATATCCATGGCACCATGATCATGCAAAAGTCGAAAAACAAGGAATCTTGACCGTTCGATTGCAGGATCTTTTTTATTTTTCTGATTAAACAAGAAAAACCCAGTTGCAAATTGGCAGAAAATATTGAATTGAAGAAAAGAAAGACTGGGTTTGATTCTTTGGAGAAAGTTAAAACAATTTTTGGCTTCTTTGGTTGGACGAGTATTGTTTCTGATAGGACATGCACAGTGTCTCTTAGTTGTACATTGAATATTCATGAAGGCTGGGGGCTTTTATTATATGATTGCAGTTTGCAATTACTTGAGAAATATTTTATATTTTAGAGAAAAGAATTTCAACTATTTTATTTGCTTTAATTCAATGCAAATTTTAAGTCAATGAAAAATGTTTCACAATCTTTGATATTAATAATTTTTTTTTAAATGAAGCTTTCTTACAAGCCAAATTTTTATTATGGATCAGCTATCATGTCAGAGCTCAACATCAAAATTAATAAAAATTGCCTAAACTGAGCTGTTGTGAATAAATAACACCTTTTTTTTAACTTATCTTGATGAATACTAATAGTATATTGAAATGATTCCCCATTAATGTCATGGACAGACAAAAATGATGTGGTTCAAAGCAAAATTAGTAAATTCATTAGCCATATATTTCTAACGATGTAAGTCCAAGGCATGTGAAGCATAACAAGTTGAAAAGATAGGTGTCAGAGTAGGCAAATTGAGGTTTCCCCATTATTTTACTCAACTAATTTGTCTTTAAACACTCATCAAGTGGGTCATTAGGGCCCCATGGCTGAGTCAACTTGATAGGAAAGATGCACCAAAACCCATTTCCCCAGTTTCAATAACAAGTTTATTCGACTTTACAGCAATTTCATAAAATGACTTTCTTTTCTTTGCAAAATTTAACTTTATTTTCATGGAAAAGAAATAGTACCAAGTACAAGAATAGATTAGAACATGGGAATTTCGCTTGCATGTTTTGGAAATCATATAGGGCCCCAGCGGTTTTGGGTTGGTCGGAGGTTAGCCTGGAAATCGATAGTATGCACTAGCCTTTGGGAATAATTCATGGGGCTTTCAACTTTGGTGAGTCAAACATATTAGAAAATTCAATGGATTGAAAGAGAACAAAAAAAATCAGTTTATTATAAGAGAGATTCGTGAGATAGACGTGCCTCCCATTTATCTGAATCATATGGCTTATTAGGCCTAATTGGGGGCCAGATTGGAGAGGCCAAATGATTTCTTTTTCTCTTTGTTTTTAATTAAATGCATGAACCTCCGCAAAATGGTGTCAAGTCCTATTTCTAGTTATAGAAAAACTGCCAAGACCTATTGAAAAATCATTTGGAAAATCTTCATATCATAGAATTCAGACCATGGTTCACAATTTTACATTAAATCGCATGCAAATGAAAATTTCTAGCTGTATTCCTCTTAATCATCCATGTGCTCATTTTTGGAATTCTTTTGTTTAAACAGAAAAGAAAAGAAAAAAAAAAAACTCCATTGGAATTTCCACAGATTCCTAATGGAGTTCTTGCTTCTCTTTTTGCACTTCTTTCTGCAAAAAAATGACATCCTTTTCTATGAATAAAAATATAAATTTGGGGTCTGATCATACTCACATGAGCAATGAATTTAAATCCAATCTTTATCTGTCCTTTATAGGTGTCATCTTCAAGCACTATACTGTAAGGAGCTGCTCTCACTTGTATAAATCCTATGTCGGTCCCCTCAGTAATTATTCCACCAAGTTGAATTCTGAAAATGTAAACTCATCTTAGCTGTTATATTGGTTTTTTGTGTTAATTGTTGATTTGTTTTCAATGTCTCAAAAAGATGTGTAAATTACAGCAACATTTAACTATCTGCTAGTCATTACCTTATGATGTTTTGGTCATTATATTGCTTTCCTACCAGTCCTATCTGCATTTTTCATGGCACAAGAGATTATAGAAACAGAGTGGGGAAGGTTAGTTGTCAGATTTAGAATAAGTGAGGTAAAAGATGGTAGTAGTTTCTAAATGCAAACTGAGGTATCAGGGCAATGAGAATGGGGTAAAATGCATATTAGGGAGAAAGAAGCAAAATACATGGTTTCACCAACAAATTAAGTCAAAAAATGAACCTGATGATACTTTGCTTCTGTATTATTGAGTTCCACATTGTAATATAACATTGAAGGCTGGTATTCCTACGGCCAAATGACCAAACCCAAACTATTAAAGTTTGAACAAAAAGTTGTTGAAAGAAAAACAAGAATAGACCATGTTATATTTACCATCTATAGCCAGGAGAGAGAGATACCAATAAGATTAATGTGTCTAATATCTTCAGCATTTATGACAAGAACTTCAAGTATTCCTTCTTTCATGTGTGAGATAGTCTGCAGATAAAACAGGGGCAAACTTAGTTTCTGTGTTGGTGTTTTTGTAAGTAAGAAAGGGAGCAAGACTGAAGAAAGTGTCGTTGCTGTGTTGGGAAAGTTAATGCAGTTAGTTTTAGAAGTTCATTTAACACAACATTTGCTCCAATTTTAATGTGTCTATTGGAAAATATTTCTAGCCATAATTTCAACACTTCAAGCTCCCAAGCAGAATTCAATGTTAATCTAATTCTGACATGGAAAATGTTTTGTAATCTGAAAATGAAATAGTTTGATAGAGGTCATCAATATTATATTTTCCATATCCAATTGTTCATGCTAGATCGAGGCTTATTTTAGAGAGTAAGGTGCTTTGATTACTCTTTGTTTGCAATGGTTTTTCCTCTTAGGGAAAAAAAATAACAGAGCAATGTCGCTCTCAAACTGAAACAGATCAGCAAGCACGTTTTAACTTGTCCCATTATGTTCTGCTTAGATTCCCGAAATAACATTTTAAAAAATCTACAGAATATTGCAAAAAATAACATCCCTCAACTCTCAAGAACGCATGATTGAACACGTCTTAACTGGCTAAGGAGTTTAACAACCAAAAAGAAAATGACACACTTGGTCTTGCTTAAACTCATTTTGAGATTCAGAACATGATCACTATTTTAGTCCCAATTATGATTTTCAAAGCACAAAATGAAATGAGAAGATCAACAATGTTAGCAGAATACCCAAAAGATCTCAGATTCCATGAAAAAGAACCCTCAAGTTTTAAAAGTTAAAAATTCTTAAAAATATATTTTCAACATGCTACAAAATGAATACAGAGAGACTATATCAATTGGTTTACCTACTGATCATGAAATCAATTGACAGAATGTACAGAAGACTGAATTCACTACCGCATTGTTCAACTTTTGTTTTTCCTCTAGGCATTCTCATCCACCAATCTTCTCAGCCTCTCTGCATCTTCCTCTCTACCCTCCTCTGCATATAGGTCTGATAAAATCCTGTAATAGTTAGTACTATTTTGTGGGTCCAAGGTGGCAAGCTGTTCAACAACAAACTCTACAATCTCAATTGGCCCATGCGTTAACCTACAACCAGCAAGAAGAGCTCCCCAGATTCTTTTATCTGGTTCCATTGGCATTTTCTTCACAAAGTCTAGGGCTTGTTCAATATTACCCTGGCGACTGAGCAAATCTACCATACATGCATAGTGTGCAAGTTTTGGAGTAATGCCATACTTCTCTTTCATAGAATAAAACCAGTTCCAACCCTCGTATTCTAGCCCACAATGACTACAAGCAGATAAAACAGAAAGAAAAATAATATCATTGGGCTTTATCCCACAATGCAACATATTTGAGAATGTCTCAAGAGCCTCAATTCCATAACCATTCAATCGATAACCATTAATCATTGAACTCCAACAAATAAGATCTTTGGTAGGAACTTCATTAAAAAGAGCCTTTCCTTGCTTAACCCTTCCAGATCTGCAGTAGAAATCTATCAAGGCTGAAGATAAATATACATTCCTTGAGTAACCAAGTTTTGCTATGAAAGCATGGATGCTTTCTCCAAGTTCATGAGATGCTTCTTGAGATGCCATCAAAGAACACATTTGCAACAAAGTAACTAAACTGAACTCATTAGGTTTCAAGTTCATACATAACATCTGTGTAAATGTATCCACAGCATTAAAAGTTAACCTGCTTTGGGTGTAAGCTGAGATCATCACATTCCAAGCAATGACATCTTTATTGCTAATGTGATCAAACACATTCCTAGCTGAACCTACCATGCCAAACTTAACATACATCTGCAAAAGTGAAGTTGAAACAGAAACAAAAGCCAAGAACCCGGTTTTCAGAACATAGCAATGAAATACAGATCCAATTTTACTTTCTCCAGATTGTAGCACAGCCATAATCATATCCAGGACAACAAATTCATCTGGAGCAAAGAAAGACAACCGCTGCATCTTTGAAAAAAGACTAATTGCTTTTATTCCACATTCATTCTCAATATAACCACGAATCAGAGTCTTCCAAGAAACCAAGTCCTTCTTCCACATCCCGTCAAAAACACAGATTGCTGTATCAAGACTATTACATTTTGCATACATATCAACCAATGAATTCTGAACACTAGTAACATGATAAAACATTCTTCTTATGATAAAACCATGTATTTCTCTACCTAACTGGAGAGCACCAAGATTCGCGCAAGCAGGTAAAATGTTGACAATACTAACGTGATTAGCTTTCAACCCAAAAAACTGCATTCTTCTAAACAACTCAAGAGCCTCCACATAGTCCCCATTCTTAACACATCCAGCAACCATAGCACTCCATAAAACAACATCTTTATCAGGTACTTGATGAAACAAACTCCAACACATTTCCATACCATAAACGGAATACGATCCAATTAGAGCAGTTAAAACTGAGGGCTCTGATTCAAACCCCATTTTGACCACCAACCCATGAACCATCATTATCAAGACATCCCAATTTAAAGCATCTACGGCTTTTATTAAGCTTAAAATTGTAACATAGTTTGGCCTTTGATTAGTCATCAGGAATAGCATTGTCTTGAACAAGCAAATGGCTTCTTCTGGCTTGCCTAGCCTTACCAACCTGGATAACTTGGATGTCCATGATACTAATACATAATCTTTTTCAGCATAAGAGTCAACTGCTTCGTCGTGTTTTGAATTCCTATGGAATAAAGCCGCGGAGATTCTCGTAGGAGAGTTTCTAATTCTTTGGGTAATTTCAGCAAATAGCTGCTGTACATGGCGATACATCGAATACATGTAAGCATGAAATTGAGATTGGACCTACAGACTGGGCACCGAAGGAACAAGCAGGCAAGACACTCTTATTGGACAACAATGGGTCTCTAAAGCCCAATTAGAGCATTTGAATTGGAACCTTCTCTTGCAAGGACCCACCACTCGCTACCCTCACTTAACTCGTCGTTACTTCCGACCGCTCCCCTTCTCTTTAAGTGATAGGCCCATTCTTAGACTTGATGAACTTCCGTTGCTATGAATTAAACTCCATTCCATGCCCCGCTGCTCGTCAATCACATCGGAGAGTAGTTGGGTCAAAGAAGACCTCTTTGGGCAAAGAATTAGACCGCAAAGCCCCAACCCGATAAACGATGAGAGAAGATGCCTTTCAAGGTAAAAACGACACCGTTGAACAACATGTAATGTATCGATTAGTTTTGGATTCATATTGGTCTGTTACAACCAAAAGAAGAGAAAAAACTTATGCCTACTAAAACAAAGAAGCCCACAAGGCCAAGATCTTAGCGCCTCATTGACTTGCTTTTTAATTTACTTAAATGTGTCTTTTGGATATTCTTAAATGTTTTATTAATTTACTTAAAATTATTAATATAAATATTTGTTAAGTTACTTAAGTTATTTAATACAGCATTAGTGGCGTTTTTTAATTGGAAAATGCTTTTAGTATATACTTTTGTTCCTCTTATTTTTTCTCTTAATGAGGCAACATTTTATTGGTTCAAATTTAAACATTACATTTATGAATTAATTTATTGGAGAATACTTAAATAAAGTTTTTTAGATAAAATTTTGAAGTTTTTAAATTAAAAATAATTAAATAAAAATTAAAATCAATAGATTAAAATATTTTATTACATTGATCAAATAATAAATTTTAAAAAATTTAAATAAATTTTGATTTTTTTAGATAGTTATTTTTAGTAAAAATTTTGACGAAATTTTTATCATTAAATAAGTATTAGTTAAATTTAAATTATAAATGATATTTTCAATAATTTTTTTTACATATTATAGATTTTCTCATTAAATTCTATTAATCTATTTATTTGAATTTTTTATTGAAATTTTAATTAAATAGTTTATATAAAAATAAATTTCATTTAAAAAATTTTCATATGAGTTTTCCCATAATTTATCTGTCATAAACATTATATTTATGAGTTACAACATTTGTAAGTTAGAATATTCTTTACTCATTAGAAAGAATTTGTCATTACTATTCAATTATACTATTTAGTGTTTCTAAATCACTATATTTTTTTATACAAAAGAGATAGTAGTGTAAAGCGAAGAAAAATTTTATATATGTTAAGATTTAAATTTTAAATTTATTATATATTATCGTGATTGTATGAATTAATTAAATTAAATTTTAAATTTTATTTTATTTTTTAATTATATTTCAACATATATTACTTTCATTTTGAGCCTTCGAGAAAAAAAATCTAATTCTGTCGCTGTAAATAAAGCCACTAATTCTTGGTAAAGTGCTCTACTTATTTGTTCTCTGGAATTAACTGCTGATTCTAAGGTAGCCCAAAAGAAAAATCGATTGGTTAGTTTCATAGTTATATAGGTTGACATCATTCAGACATGCAGGAAAAGGCAAGTATTTGATGAAGCCTGGTTTAATATTTGTTGGACAGAAAAAAAAAATGAATTAGAAATTGCATGATCATAAAAATACAGTGATTTGTTAACTGAGATTCAAACCTAAAGGTTCTAAACTAGTACTAGATAGGGGAATACATTGAAGGCTTTGTCCTTTTAACACTAGACAAGTTCCTACTCGAGCCTATTAGCTAAGAGGAAGGGTACAACGATTGATTAATATTCATTACAAATGCTTGTTGGGAAGAATATCAGTTCTTCATTTACTTCTGCATTTGCTTGGTACCCAAGTAACAGAAGTACCAATGTAATCAGCCTGCTGAACCCAGAAATCATACAAATACTGGTTGATGATTAGTTTCTGATATGGTTTCTCATCCTGATCACCTAGTTGCAACTCTTTGAAGTGCTTGTTTGATCATCCCTGCAGGTGCAATTGCTGCTCCTCGAAACTGAAAAAAAAACAAATGAAACAGGTTATTCTTAAGAGTGGAACAATAAAAAAACAGAGGAATCTGTTAGAATGAGCCTAGCTGAGCATACAAACCTTAGATTTCAAGTTTACCATGATAAAACCCTCGAGAGTAGATGATTGAACAGTGTGGGCATCCAAGTGTAGGCTGTTTATAGCATCCATGATATCCAGCAACAGAAATTCCCTGGAAGGACATCTTATTTCAATTTTAACCTCCAGCTCTTTAATGCTTACTTTCACATCTGATGTAAGGCCATCTTTAGGAATAACCCTACTTAGTTCTGAGCCAGTTTCGTGGCTTTCATCAATGTCAGAGGCCTTCCTCTTGTTCATCCAGGATTTCTTGACATTGTCAACCTTTCTGTTTTCATAGTTATCCGATGTCTGCTCCGCCACATCCAGGAGGCAATTCCTTCTAGGCCTTGCCTCAAAGTCCACTGAATCCTTGCAAGATTCCAACTCTTCTACCCTGGCTTCCAGCTTTTTCAAATACTTAATTGTATCCTTCAGAATTGATGCTTTGTCAATCTGCACAAAGTTTCCGGTAAATTGCTTCGGATGTTTACACTTATATTATGAACGTTTTATAAAACACATAATGGAAATATGTATATGCATATATAAATAAAGTATGATCATATTATGCCACAGTTGATTTCTAGGTAACATAGTGCGGATGGAAGTGAAATTAACCTCACTGATAGAAGGAACCATGGACCTGAGGACCAGAAATTTCTCTTCCTCTCTTCTTTTTTCAAGTAAACCACTTCCTCTGTTATCATCATCTTTTTTCAATTTGCCAAGGCAATGTTTCCCACCATTTTCCTTCTGAGACATAAGAGAACTACAGCCATGCATCAGAGGAACTTCAAATAGAATCTTTTTAAATATGTTCTGATATACCCTTGGTCTGTGAAAATTTGCCATTCCTCCTTTCTTCCAACTGATAAAATTAGATTTATAGCCACAAGTGCAAAAACCTTGGCTTTTGATCAACCAATTTGAAGTTCCGAGAATAGCAGAAAGAGTTCTTTTGTAGTGTAAGTCATCACCAACTTCAAGATCCAAAGAGCTTAGTTTTGTGTGATTGCCATCTTGAAGTTCTTTAAAATGAGAATGGCTTACGCTTCCCCGCTGGGGAGAAGAGATAGCATCTTTTTCTAAAATACCAAAGTCTTCATCCATGAAATGCCAACTTTGAACTTGGGAAGCAACACCATTCACATCTTCAAGCATGAATGAGTCTTCCATCTGGTGATTTTGTTCACAGCCATTTGAACACTCATCAGGGGAACCGATGTTGAAATCTTCATTGATATTTTCATGTAATTCATTAAATTTCTCCTCATCAAATTTAATTTCTTCCGTAGGTGAATAGAGGTTATCCAAGTCCAACAAATCCACTATCTTATGGTCAACCTTGGCACAAGCAGGATCTCTATCATCATCATCTGCATTATGAGGAGCAGAGGAAGATTTCTCAGAGCAAACAGGCTTGGAGAAGTCCAGCAAGGAAGCTTTAATATGCTGAAGAAGATTAGGATCCTCCGGAACCTTAAAAATTAAGAATATTCAGAGAAAATAATAAGTATCATAATTGCTTAATTTCTTGATATAATGAACTGAAATCTTCCAACCTAGGTCCACAAAAAAGAACTTACTAGTTCAGTTACACCAAGCTCAACCAAACCTCCAAGGTAAGGGAAACATACCACAGTCTGCAGAGCAAAAGTAATAGCCAATAATGTCAAGGTAAGAAAGGAATGACAGCCTGGAGATGTGTTCAGATAACACATCTGCATTACTGCATAGGATGATCAAACGGATGGCAAGATGTGCAAGGAGAGATCATCTTACCTGAATAGATGCACTCTATGAGCAATGATGGACATCAAGTCACGGAAAACAAGGTCACAGGAAAATAATATCAGTCAAATGGATTCTTGTAATGCAATTGGTTGGGATATTGTACCAGTTTAAAATGGAGCAACAACACTGAAGCCGAAGGAAACCAACCTTTGCAAGCAATGAGCGGGAGAATATTTTACTATCTGCATGCTGAGCATTGCATAACCATATGGTTTCACCATTTGCTAATGCTCTTCCTGGCAAGCTATGGAGAAATGTAAATGAAGAATGAATATAGTATTAAAGGAAAACAGTCAAAACACTAAGAAAACGTATAAATGACTAAAAAAAGTAATGAGAGAGACAGACATTACGGAAAAAATAACATATAAAAGGCAATCAAAATAGGTTTACATATTAGAATTGAGATTTATTACCCTTGTCCTGAATTGAATACAAAGGACATGCAAACCAAGTAATACCACTCTGCATCAGACAGATCCTCTGGAGATAATGCAGCAGAAGGCCTCTTGGTTTGGTCAGTTTCACCATCCAGCAGAGATTCATAAAGCTCTCTCAGTTGCTCACTCCTCTGTAGGCCTATTTTATTAGATTTAAGCTCGATTGCTTGAACAGTCTTCCTAGTCTTAATGTCTCCATTGTAGTAACCATCACCCCATTCAAGTACCCTGGTGATTGTTAATCAAGAGATATCATAATTCCAAAGTTAAAAAAGGAGACTCCCTAAATCTTATCTCTCGGGTTACCATACCAGTGGCTTTAAATTCTACTGCAAAACAACCCCATTATGCCATGTATGGAAGGAAAATCAAAATTCCATTGTGGTAAGTTTAGCTTAAAAGGAAAGTTCACATTGAAGACAAAATCTTTTTTTTAAAGAAAACTAAAGACTGATAGCATTCATTTGCATTGGATTTAAAACATGTTTAAACCTAAAAATGAGAACTAAGAAATATGAACAAGATTAAATTTGAAGAATACTATTAATCTGGATGGAACAAATGATGACAATACCCTGGTTGTGTAACTGATAACGACCAGAAAATTGCATAGCTCCACTGGATACTCCTGACAGCCACTGCAAGCTGTTTCCTCAAGTTTTCAGGCACCCCCTCCTGGTTTGTAACACCATTAGCCATTGACATTACAAAATATGACCGACTTCAACTTACAGAAAGTGGAAAACCAATAAACATCAAAGTAAACCCAAGCTTTTCTTTTTCTCAGCTGACCCAGATGGCTATATTTGCTTTCAGCAGAGTGGAAAAACCATAGTTCTTTAACCAACTTTATATGTCATCAGGATAGAGGAGATATCAAAACTCAAAAAAAAAAAAAAAATGAGGACAAGACCAAAGACAGACAAATTTTGGAGCTTATAACTTTTGGGTTTTCGTTTCTTTTTTTTTTTGTTTTTTTAGCTTTGAAGGTTGCAACTAGCCATTGAATTTAATAAAAAGAATATGCAGAACCATATAGTAACATTTTCTTTTAAAAAAATGCAAACAACAGAATCTCCGGCCGGCATTTGTTCCATTTACATCGCTTTCCTGATCCTCTCTTCTTTTTGTTCATAAAGCATAAATTTTATGAATTCTCTCCTTTTATCTCAAAAAAGAAAATGAAGGGTATATTCGGGACAGAAATAAAAATAGTACTTGTAGTAATTACTGCATGTGTGTACATTTCTCGTCCGACAAAGATTCCGCACTTTACATTTAAAAATATTTAAGGCCTAAATCCTAAAATTAAAATCTTAAAATAACAAAATTTATAAAACTAATATAAATAATTATTACCTTTTGTTACATTGTTCATTAATTACACAACCATGAAACTAAAGAAATTGCAACTTGTTAACAGTTGCGTGTCTCCTTTGATACAATATTGAATTTTTAATTATAATAAATATAAAATTTAAAATTTGAGAAATTTAAATATAAAATACAAAATACAAAATACAACTCAACCGATTAATTAATACCAAAAGTGTTAAACCATAATTTTTTGAATATATTAAAAAATTTATAATCAAACTTTTTTAAACAGTAATTATGATTAAGAAAAATTACGGTCACAGCGAATACTTTTCAGTTTTCACCGTGTTAATTAACATGGCAATGCTCATAAAAGAAAAACATTAATCTATATAGACTATTATTGTGGCAGCTTTATCAGAGTAACTTTTCTTGTTTGATCTTCATAAAGGCAAAATCTTTAATCAGAGCCTAGTATTTTTTTATTTTTGTTATTTAGAAATTAATTTCGTAAAAGTTACTATGCATGTTAGGAGTAGTTTGTCCAATCATGTTATGCACATGTGTTGGTTGTAGTTTCAATGACTTATTATTGAATTTTTTATTTAAAAAATAAATTGAAGTGTCGGATTTCTCTTAAATTACTATAAATTCATAACTGTTTAACTTTGGATGCCAAAGATTGTTTCGAATTTTCATAAATACATCCATAGGCCTATTCTGATCTCCTGTACATTTTACATGATTGCAAAAGACCGATTAGATATTGTTTGTTTTTTTATAAAAAATAGGAAACAATTACTGTTTACTCAAACAAATATATATATATATATAATATATATATGAGGGAACAGTTTACACAAAATTGATCAATCATAACAAAATATGTTATATGTAAAAGTAATAATTTGTATATTCGTATTATATAAAAAATTAATATTTTATATATTTGTATTATATTTTATATAAAAATTATATATTATAATTTATATTAATACAAAAATAAAATTTTTTATTTTGATAAATTTATTTATGATTTTTATTAATATTAAAATCTTAAATCATTTTATATTTTATATTTATATTATTTTTATATCATATTATTATATTATATTTTAAATTATTAAATTTACTTACCTTAAAAATTAATCATGAGTAGGATTTTAATTGAAGACCACTTACGTTTGTAGGAATGAACTCGTGGCTTGAGCTATTCATTGATGATTTTAACTATAGGAAAAATGCAGATGGAGGCCAAGAATGGTTGGTGAGGTGAAGAAAGGGCGATGGCAGGCTTTAAAGGGGGAAATACTGGTTGAATTGATGAACGCCGAGATGACCGGATAGATTAGAGATCATTATTGAAGCGGTGGGCAAGGGCCCCCCTTTGAGAAGAAGAAAGACGAGTGTCCTAGTGCTTTATGTTCACTTTCTCATTTGTCAGCTTTCCTCGACACTGCTAAAGTGCTGCTCCATAGGTCGTACGCTTGCTTGGCATATAGCTATTGTAAACCGCAGTTCATTTTCCTTCGTTTCTCTTCTCTCCTTCAAAACATCATTTAACTTTCACAGCAGTTAATTAACTGTAAATTTTCCACGGGTCTAGGGTAAATATATATAATACAAAATTCTTGGAGTGAAGAATTATAAGAAATGAAATGACTTGGCAGTAGTTTGCAGTCGCATGCATGTGTGAAGTGTCCAAGTTGTAGGCGAATATGTCGTGAATCAAACAAGTTTCCTTTGGAATATTGCTTTTGACAGGTTTTAATTATTCGAGGAGAACAACTTTCATGGTACGTTATGTTGTTTTCTCTTGTTTTGTTTTGCTTCTTGTAGTTTTCTTGCCTGCATAACAAAACAAATAAAATCAAACCATGCATGAAAATTCAAAAAAAAAAAAAAAAAACCCCTTCAGTTCTTAATTTTGACAATCCAATTATATATAAGATATTACAATAAACTCTCACGTGGTGTGTCAGGATTGATTAAATCGTTGGTCACTCCTTAAATGAAAGAAGTAAAGTGTTCATAAATATTTTAAAAAATAAAAATAAATAAAAATTTAAATATTATTGATAACATTTTTAAATTTGTCCATAATCAGACTTTTCATGCATCTCTGATGCTATGTAGCTTTCTTTGTTGCAAATGCCAGGCAAAAACCCATCACCTTCTCAAAGCAAAAGATTCTCCATCTGCCGTACCATTCATTGCTCAACAGGCACATCACATCAAATCAAATCCCATGCATCAAAGTTAATGAATGAACATTACTGGATTTTGATAACTAAATTTTTTTACTAATTTTTACCCTGATTGACATTTAATGTAATTTATAGTATTTTTTGGTAGAATTAAAAGTTAAAAGGAATCTCTGAAACTGATTTAATTAAATGTGGTTGTTGCTTCCACTGTATTTATTACGATGAGACAAATCAATTCTGTCAAAAAATTCAAACTTGAAATTAAAACATGTGATTGACAAAGTATTTTCCATTTTAATATCATGGAAACCAAAAAAAAAAAAAAAACGTTGTTAAGAGATGTATGATGTTTCCAACTCACGAGGCAGGCAAGCATGTGGGGGTGAATGATAATATGGTTTCTCGAAATCTTCAAGTGCTATGATTTAATCCCACCAATGATGGTCCATGAGAATCTATTTAGCATCAACAATCATGCCATATCCATTATTCCCCAACCCCATGCGTCAATCACTTTTTAAAATTTCGTTTAACTTTTGACTGCAAAACTTTAATAATATGGCTTCTTTACGCTCCTTTAACTATTACAAACCAGAAAATTTTAAGGGAAAAAAAAGTTGAAAGGTACAAAAAAATATTGAATTATAATTAAAATATCTTTAATTTTTTTTATTTTTTTTATAATTATTCAATACTTTAAATATTTATCTACATCCAATTAAAATTTTATTTTGATAAAAAATTTAATATCATTAATTTTTTTAAATTAAGAAACAAATTTTACATGATATCAATAAAATAGATAAAATTTTGACATGTTGCGTAATTAATGTATATAAAAAATAAAAAAATATAATTTTTTTTTCTATTTTCTCTCTCAAATTTTCTCTAAAATTTCTCTAAGAGTTCAATTGATTATAATTGAATGATCACTTGATTTAATTTTTTCATGTAACTAAATTTCATCTAATTAAATTTTCAATTGGGTTGAAATAGAAGATTAAGAGTTTGATTAATTATAATAAAATATTTAAAATTTAAATGATTATTAAATTATAATTTAAATATATTTTTAACTCATTAACAAAAAATATATAAAATGCCGTGAAAGAAAAAGTTAATCGATGTCTAGTTAAAATGATATTAATTTTTAAAAGATTGTAATTAATGTGTTATTATTTTTTTAATTTTATGAAAATAATGTATTAAATGTAAAATTTTAAAATAGTATTTTAATTATTTTAACTAGTGTTTATATATAACCGTTAATCAAATTTCAAAAATAAATAAATAACGAAGTAATAACAATGAAGTGTAACTTCTACATGTATTGTTCGTGTGGACTAGGTTTACCATTTTGGATCTCATCCCTTGTTTATAAGTGGATAAAACATCACATTTCGAATATATTACATATGAATATGCATACATATACATATACGTATTTCATATTTTTGTAACGAAAATAAATTATAATATTTTTTAATAGACTCGATAATCGTTAAAAACATAAAAATTAGTCTTAATTATCACATTTTATATCCCAAAAAATAAAAATAGCTCGGGAGTAATTTGATTTATATGCACTTTAATTAGTATTTGAGAATGACTTATTTGAAGCCCAATATGAACAGAAGGGTCGTGGGTGTCTGTTGTGGAGCGCATGAGAGCACGCGTTGTTATGTCCAAATCCTGTTTAGGTAATAAACCAATAATCTATTGGGCCTTAAGCAGCCCACATTTTGTAATCAAAGAAAAAAAATCAAATGGGACTAAGCCACGTTATGATCCACGTGTGAAGCCAATAGTGGTTTGTCGTATTTCTCTCGTGTTTTCACCTAAACCCGTCCCTTTTTATTTATTTTTGCACCTAAAATAGTAATCTCTTCGATCCATAAAACGTCATCGTTAGATGTTCCTTTTCTTCGATCCCTGGCCACGCAAAATTCAGTCTTCCACCCTATTTCCGTTGGGTTGGTGTTACGTTGCCGAGAAAAATTTTCCAAAAAAACAATGGCCAGATTCTTCTAATAGAAGGAAATTCTTCAAAACACTGCAGATGTTTCATTTAATTTTCTTTGGGAGGAGAACTTGGCCAAGCGTTCAATTACATTCTAATTCAGGAGATTACTGGAAAAACCGAAATGGCGGTTTCATCAGTTCCTATATTCAATAGTTTAAAGCCGCCAAGTGCTTCTCTTATAGCTTGCTCGACTGTACATTCTAGGTCTCCGAGCTCATTGGGTTACAACTCGTTTTGGGTCAAGGGAGGTTTTGTCTGTTCTAGTGTTTCCGAGTCGTCTCGGGTTCGAGCCATAGTCAGAGATAAAGGAGAAAGAACAGAGGATCATCCACTCGTTGGTGATCTTGTAGATAACGTTGGCAACAAGCAGGTAAAACCACAAAATTTCCAATCCATAATTTGCGTTTGTTACCCATTTTCACAAGAACTAGCTGAGAATATAAAACTGAATGGTTCTTTATTTTATCTTTTTGGTAGGTTTTGTGGCCGAGGTTACCAGAGCGTGATTTTGCTGGCACTCCTTATGTTCCTGTATATGTTATGTTACCAGTAAGTTATTAAATTTGACTTCATGATTTTTGTTTTTGAAATGTTTCTTAATAAACACTAAATAGTTTATTTTGTTTGTGTTCTATAATGTGGGGGGTGGGGGTGGCAGCTCGGTGTTGTTGACATGAATTGCGAGTTGGTTGAAAAAGAGGGTCTTGTGGATCAGTTAAGGATTTTGAAGTCAGTTAATGTGGATGGTGTAATGGTTGATTGCTGGTGGGGGATAGTTGAGGCGCATATGCCTCAAGTGTATAATTGGAGTGGCTACAAGAGGCTTTTTCATATTGTGCGAGATCTTGGGCTTAAGTTACAGGTGAGTAATAGTACATTAATTCATGTTTGCTATGTTTGTTTTAACAATAACCAATTAACTATTCATTCTCTAAAAGATTTATTGTTGTCTTCCCTTTACTTTTTCGTTATTGGTATGTATATCGCTAGAAAAAGACTAGTTAGTTGTTAGACCATTTTTTATCTTTAGACTGTCAGCTTGTGATGTCCTGACTTGATTTTGAAACATGTTATGAGTAATGACTGTTGGTAGTCTATCTAAGATGAAAACTGACATGAAGTTTTACCTTTTGTTGTTTGTCTATGAATGTCACGCTTTTGTTTGATATAGGTTGCTCTTATATCATGTATAGGGAAATATTCTAGACGATGAGAGTTGAGAACAACATACAAAATAAATATCACTTAATTGGGATTATCTTGCTCCTGATCTTTTGAATATCCTTCTCCCAGTTCTTGATCTAAAATGGGCACAGGTTGTAATGTCATTTCATGAATGTGGAGGCAATGTTGGAGATGATGTACATATTCCACTCCCTCGGTGGGTAAGAGAAATTGGGCAGAGCAACCCTGATATATATTTCGCAGATAGAGAAGGAAGGAAAAATTCTGAATGCCTTACATGGGGAATTGATAAGGAGCGGGTTTTAAAGGGCCGAACTGCTGTTGAGGTATAACAGTTTGATTTTGGTTGTTGAACTCTACTTGACAGTTATGCTTCTATCGTTTACTAATGACTTTGGACAAAATCTTTCACAATTTCTCTGTCTTGTTTAGTTCTGCTCTCTACCTGTGACTCTAAAAATTAACAAGTTTCAAACTATTGCTAAATAATTTTTTGGCTTTCTCTTTTCTCTTTGTTTTGGGTGAAATATTTTTGATCAATTTCTAAATTCATCTTTGAATCTTTGTATTATTTAGCAATTATAACTGAGCTTTCCAATATGATTTTCAGATATGTCACAGCCTCACAGGTTTGAATACTAAGGATTGGAAACTTGGACCAGAAGTCTTTTGTTGTTTGCTTTGTCCTTCATTTGCAAAATAAATTTCTTTCTTTTGGTGCATGATTAACTTTTAAGATTTTATTGGGTTGATTTATAAGTGCAGGTTTACTTTGACTATATGAGGAGCTTTCGTGTAGAATTTGATGAGTTCTTTGTGGATGGAGTCATATCTGAGATTGAACTAGGACTGGGTCCATGTGGGGAGCTACGCTATCCTTCTTATCCTGCAAAGCATGGTTGGAGATATCCTGGTATTGGTGAATTTCAGGTACATTTCAAATGACTATGTATCTAGATATCTTTTGTAAATTGGTTGAACCTTTGCTAATTATTATGATGATTCAACATTAATCGATAGTTTTGCTAATTCTTCCTAGCACTAATGCAATCTGGTTCAGTTCAGTGTTATGATAAATATTTGATGAAGAGTCTAAGCAAAGCAGCAGAGATTAGGGGCCATTCTTTCTGGGCCAGAGGACCAGATAATGCCGGTTCTTATAATTCCGCACCTCATGAGACCGGATTCTTTCGTGATGGAGGTGATTATGACAGCTATTATGGCAGGTTCTTTCTTAATTGGTATTCTCAAGTTTTGGTTGATCATGGTGATCGTGTGCTTGCTCTGGCCAACTTAGCCTTTGAAGGCACTTGCATTGCTGCAAAGGTCAGTTTGCAGCAAGTTCTATTCTTTGGAGCTGATTTAGAATTTCATGATTTGCAATCAAGCAAACTCTTCACGGCCTTTTGTTGTAAAGAATTGTGGCTTTGCTTTGATTTCGTTCCCAGCTATCAGGTATTCATTGGTGGTATAAAACAGCTAGCCATGCTGCTGAGCTGACTGCTGGGTTTCACAATCCTGCAAATCGTGATGGCTATGCTCCGATTGCAGTGATGTTGAAAAAGCATGGGGTTGCATTAAACTTCACATGTGTTGAATTACGCACCTTGGATCAGCATGAGGACTTCCCAGAGGCACTGGCAGACCCTGAGGGATTAGTTTGGCAGGTAATAGCATTTCTTTTTATTCTGGTTTTCAACTTTGGTGGGTATATCATATTTTACTATGGTAGTGTGTGTTCTAGGATAAAAATGGATTTATCTGTTTTCTCTGATGCTGAGATTGGAGTAAGAAAACATGAATTAGATTGGTTGTGACTTCTGACCATACTCTTATCTTCAGTCAAGTACAAGAATCTTTGGATCAGGGCCATTCAGTTGGTTATCATATGTGGCTGAGTCTATGGCTTGGTTGTGCTTGCAAACCACATTCTAATTTTGCTACCATCTTTCTAATTTCCAGGTGCTGAATGCTGCATGGGATGTTTCCATACTGGTTGCTAGTGAGAATGCTCTTCCATGTTATGACAGAGAAGGCTATAATAAGATACTAGAAAATGCCAAGCCCCGGAACGACCCAGATGGCCGTCATTTATCTGCTTTTACCTACCTCAGGCTCAGCCCAGTTTTGATGGAGAGGCACAACTTTGCAGAGTTTGAAAGATTTGTCAAAAGGATGCATGGTGCAATATACCTTCACTTTTCTCATTTATTCCTTCTTTTGAAAAGAGCTGACCTTCCAATGTATGGTAGATGTGACTTGGCGCAAGGAACCTTAATTTCTCGATTTGAGCTTGCACTGCTTCTACATGTATATAAGCTACTTACCTTTTATCAATTAATTGAAACTCATGAGTTAAGCCACCTTCATTTACAGGGGAAGCAGTACCAGATCTCCAATTGTTTCCAAATGAAAAGCCGGCTACACCTGACGGGAAGGATGGACAAGTCGCTGCTTAGGGGAAGAAAGATACATGTAACCTTTGTACACGATTTTATGCAAATAACGACTGATATATATATATATATATATATATATATTTATGCTTATGATCATGATTCCTTCAAGTGACCAAGGGAAATGCTTAGGAGAAAATCTAAATTTTGAGAATGCTTTCTACCCCACATTCTGTAAATAAATAATATACTGAATATTAGTCTAATTGATGCCGAGCTAAATCATGTTCGAACATTTAGTTCAGTTAGTTGAGGTTTGATTTTTGTGCTCAAAAAACATGCTCGAAATCCCCTCTTAAAAAAAATGGCTTCGAAGAGGGTACTTCTAATTGTCAATTAATTTTAATAATAATTATTTTTATGTCGTTTTAATTTTACAAAACAAATTATTTTTTACGGAAAATGCGTCACTAGCATTTATATGAGAAATTAAAAAGAAAATATATTGCTAAATAATGGCAAGTGTTTGGTTTATATAACCGACTTTAGCTTGCGTCACAGGTCACGTGATATTTTTCCAGCCTAAAGAGAGACACACCTAAATCTCGTGTCCGGTCGGGTCCCTCAAAGCAAAGCCCACGGCACGTGTGACAAGTGTCCCCTAACACGTCCGTAGATCCCGCTTAATACGCTGCTAGCCCACACACGCCTCATTCGTGCCAAACCCTAAATCTCACACACATACACGCTCGCCCATCCCACACACGCGTGAAACCCTAACACCCACGCGCTCGCCTTCCCCTCGTCACGCGCCCCCCACATCCTCGCCGGCGATAGCCCTATTCTCGGTGCTTCTACATCGCTTCTTCTATCTTCGCAGCTCCGGAGAATAGTCCTCTTATCAAGCCGGAGATACCCTGCGGTTGCCGGGAATATTGATCTACTCGCATAAATCGGTCGGTTTGAGAAGAGAAAGTGGAATTTGAAGGATTGGAGATATTTCGAAGCGTCATGTGAAGCAAATTGAAGATTCGCGTAAGAATTACGCTAGAAATCGAGACGCTACTCTGAAGGTAATTTCTTGAGAGAAAACTTCCGAATTTTTCTAGAGAGAATCTTTCGCTTTTTTTTCGGTCTCCTTAGGTTTATGGTTAATTTACCACGGGAATTGAGTTAGGTACTTAAATTTCTTCATGGGGTTGCTGAGAAAGTGTTGAAGTGAAAGAAGATGAAAAATAATAAAATTTCTTTTTTATCGTCTTAATTTTCATGAATAAAAGTTTAAAATCCAAAACAAGACAAATAGTTTCCTAACCTACAATTTAGTGGGGTATTTGATCTTTTTAAGGCCTAAGAGACTTAGTAGGTGCCTTATAATAATTATTGTTGTTGTTTTGGTTATTGTATTAAGGAAATATGTAGAATTGGAAGTTGGAGCTATGTCTATCTGGGGAGTCCTTCCTTCCCCTTTTGTGTAAGTATATGAATTGAAGTTTTTGATTGTTACCAGGAAAATCTGAAATCGAGTTGGGGCAGAAATTAGTGGATCTGATTCTGCATTGTAAGAGAAATCCATGCCATATTTTAATTTTGCAAAACGTTAGGAAATGGTTATCACATTTACTGTAGATAAGTTATAATCCTAAGGTAATTTTGGGGTTAGAGGTTCAGGATTAGAGTGGGAAGTTATGGCAACAGATATGCAGAAACTGATGGGAGCTAGTGAGGAGGATGATGAAGAGGAAATGGATGTAAAAGAAGAGGATGATGAGGATGAGGAGAATGGAGAGAGGCGTATTGCTGCTCAGATGATGATGGGGGTTGATGAAGTGATGCCAAGTACAAGTAGTGGCGGTCAGTTTCAACATCAGCAGCAACTTCAAGAGCAAGTCGGCACCCCGGGTGGAGGAGGAGCTCGCAGGTCACGACCACCAGAAGAAAAGGAGCGAACGAAGCTAAGAGAGCGGCATCGGAGAGCAATAACTGCAAGGATCTTGGCGGGGCTTCGGAGGCACGGGAACTATAACCTGAGGGTTAGAGCTGATATCAATGATGTGATTGCAGCTTTGGCCCGGGAAGCTGGCTGGGTTGTTCTTCCAGATGGAACCACTTTTCCATCAAGATCTCCGGTACTAAACCTTTGAATCCTTTGGATTTCTCTTCTTAAATTGAGCAATTGTTTCATTCAATATCTACTGCAAGGTACAACATTGAAATGTAACATTCATTTATTCAAGAGGTTCATAGATTGTTCATTGTTTAACTTACTGCCTAACCTTGGATTATTTTAATCTTTGTCCTGCATAATATTGATGGTAAGGTTTAGAACCATGCTTTAATGCTCCTTTGATCTTCACTTCTGATGAATCTGTGGAAAATCCAAATGGGAATGTTTTCTCTTTGCAGGGTTCAAGGCCCACTGGTGGCAATTCTGCAGGCATGACTTCATCTTCCTCCCAAATGGTATCACAACAGACTCCACCTACCTCCTTGCAGGGAGTCTCTTCTGGCTATCGCACCTCAGTAGAGTACAATGCTAGTCGTATGAAGGGAGTTTTCATGCCTTCTTCTTCACCTTATGATCTGTCCTCAAGTGCCCGTTCTCAAAGTTCAGGCATGGTTGGAGATGGTGGAGAACAAATAGAAAGTCTTCCTTTTATTTCTGGCTCCATGGAAGCAATTAATGACAAACAGGTATGACAGAGTTATATGGATATCACATGTGAATAACTATCTATGTGTTTTCTGTTACTGATTTGCCAATACCAAATGATGTTCGGATATTGGATCTAAAATGCCCTGCAAGCACTTGGGAGTGTCAAATAAAATATATGATTGATGCATATTCATACTTAAGTAATAGGTTGAAATAGCCATTGATAGTATGATCTTGTGTATAGTGACATACATTTAGTACTTCCTTACGGTCATGTGTTCTTTTTGATAATTCAGGAGCTTAATTTCATCCTTATATCTATTGTAAAACTTAGTTGCTTTGATTTGCTTATTTTCTTGGGTGGATCTTGTGATGTTCATTTTCTCTTCTAATCTACAATCTTTATAGCTTATTGGGCAACTTCCTAAGCTACCAGAACGTGATTTTGCTGGCACTCCATATGTTCCAGTTTATGGGATGCTACCAGTGAGTTTTCTAATTCAAACTTCTTTCTCCATATTTACATTAGATCATAATATTTCTTCAACACTTCATATCTGGCCGACTGGCCCTTTTGTCAAATGGGCATGCGTAACTTTTTTTCTGTTTTCCACCTCAGTTTGGGTTCTTTGATGCTGAAGTGCTTCTTAAAGCTAACTAAATGCCAAATGTGACAACTTCTTTAGATACTCTCCTAGTTTCAGTCTAATAATTCCCTTAATTGTGGCAGTTGGGGGTCATCAACATTAAGTGTGAGCTAGTTGATCCAGACGGTCTGCTAAAGCAGCTTAGAGTATTGAAATCAATCAATGTAGATGGGGTCATGGTTGACTGCTGGTGGGGAATAGTGGAAGCACATGCTCCCCAGGAATATAACTGGAATGGTTACCGAAGACTCTTTCAGATGGTTCGTGAGCTTAAGCTTAAGTTACAGGTGGGTTTTCAGTAAGGAATTCTTTATGTGGTTGAATGCTGTCTCATTGCTTGAGGTAGTACTCAATGTTAATATCTGACCTCTGATATGGTAAAGAACTACATAATATCAAGTATCAACCACCTATGGTTTTATTTCATGTATTTATTTGATTTATTTGTTCATATGAGCATAGGACTTTGGTATTCCCCCTCTTTAGCCTCATCCCCCAAGAGTGCTACAAGTCAATTCAAGCTGAAAGTTAGTTGAAAGCCATTTTGCTTTCCTTGGTACCTCTGGCACAAGTTTGTCTCTAGATGTCAGCTTTTGCTGATCCTTCTGTATGATGATGTGGATGCTTTAGCGACACAAAATTTGGGAGGTTGGATATGCCTGGAAATCCCCATGTGTGTCTCAAAATGTCAGACTTGACCTGTGTTGCTGCATGGCAAAGTAATATGCCTTTGGCAAAGGCTGTTGTGATGCAATTTGTGAAAGAAAACACAAATGTAATTGGTGGCCTATGTTCTTCAGTGGTATGCCTTAGGAGGGTAGGCTTCATATAGGTTTTGCACTTCATCCTAGAGCTTGGCTCAAGCTTTTGAATATTGGAAGGAAATATGAAATTTCCACAAGTTACTAATCTTAGAACAGAAAGAAACAATCCAAACACTTGCAACTTAATTCAGATGAGTAATCATAACAATTTAGGACTGACATTCTTCTTGTTAAGGTGTTTGAGATGAGTATATTTGTCATTGTGATAGTAAAGTTTCTTTTCTCTTCTATATTAAGCTTAGTTTTATATAAGAAATATGTATGATGCATTATTTCTTTTTCTTTACCTTTTGAATGTGATGCTTGTAAAGATTTGTTCCAAGTGTGACAGTTATCTTATTGATGGATCAGGTTGTGATGTCATTTCATGAATGTGGTGGCAATGTTGGTGATGATGTCTGTATTCCACTTCCCCATTGGATTGCAGAAATTGGTAGAAGTAATCCTGACATATTTTTCACTGATAGGGAAGGAAGAAGAAACCCTGAATGCCTCTCCTGGGGGATTGATAAAGAGCGAGTTTTAAGGGGCCGAACTGCTGTTGAGGTATTAGTCCTTGATATTATTGTCAGTCATTAGGTAGTCTCTAACTTTGTAACAACCAACAAGTGGTATCGATACTATTTTGTACATCATACAAGTTACATCATACAAATTGCTGGCTTTACTGTATCACGTTCTGCCCTCTTCTTTTGTTGTGAATCATTAAACTTATTTGAGACCTACTGAAGCTAGTTCTATTCATACTTCTGACTATGTAATTGGTAATGGATCAGACTTTGGATCTTATTTATGTTAAAATAACCATTGCTAAAAAACAAAGTGACAAGGATTTGCTATTTTCTGAAATTTGCTTTTGAGGGATATTATAAACAGATTTGTTATGCTAACTTGGTTTGCTCTTTTCTTCCTTTGCTTTCTTTTAAGGGTAGATTCTTTTGATGTTTTAACTTTTTGTTGGCAAACATAGGTATACTTTGACTATATGAGAAGTTTCCGAGTGGAATTTGATGAATTTTTTGAGGATGGTATCATATCCATGGTTGAAGTTGGACTAGGTCCCTGTGGGGAGCTTCGGTACCCATCTTGTCCAGTAAAGCATGGATGGAGATATCCTGGGATTGGGGAGTTCCAGGTAATTGTAATTACAATTTGAATACGAACCCTTGCCTTATTTAAATCTGACATATTCTTGCATTATTTGACACGTCATTTATTTAACTCATTCGGGTATACAATTAGGTTGCTGTCACAAGAACTGTGATTTGTTCTTGTTAGTGGGAAATTTGAAAGAAAATCTTTGTTGCGAACCAGTTTCACCAATTCAAATTTTGAACCTTAAATGTGACAACTGATTTTTGAACCTTAAATTTGACAACTGATTTTATATAGATTAATATATTGCTTTGCTGCTCCATGTATGTTTTGCCACTCTAGATGCTGCAATTGCATCAGCATCACATTTTCTTGCGCCTGGAAACTTAGCCTACATCTTCCCTCCCTCTCTCACCCCATTTACTGTCTAGAAGGAAAGAGAACAATAAATAGGAAATGATGACTAGCCAGCTTTCTAGGAATCTTTTATAAGGGCTAGATTAGTATGCTCAGTGTTCTTATCTATCCTGCTTGTGTTAAGAATAGTTTCCTTGCAGGTAATTCTTTTCAAGTTTAACATAAGTAATCTCATCATGATTATTAGTATTGCTCTATTGTCAGCCTAGCAAGTTGTGATGCTCTTTGTTTTGGGTCCTGTTGTGTCTCTGTACAGCATGTTGCTTGTTTGTGGTCTTGTCACCTCAACAGTGCCAAGAACATTAAATTTTTGGTTCTCCTCTGGGCATCATATAATGCCTTTCCTTTTGCAGTGTTATGATCAGTACATGTTAAAAAGCCTTAGGAAGGCAGCAGCAATGAGGGGGCACAGCTTTTGGGCTAGAGGGCCAGATAATGCCGGGTCCTATAATTCCCAGCCACATGAAACTTGCTTCTTTTGTGACGGAGGAGACTATGATGGGTACTATGGCAGGTTTTTCCTTAATTGGTACTCTCAGTTATTAGTTGATCATGGAGACCGGGTACTTTCTCTGGCAAAGTTAGCTTTCGAAGGTTCTTGCATTGCAGCAAAGGTGAGTCACCCTGCACTGATATATCTTATACCTGACAGAAAATAATTCTTATCATCCTCTAAAATTGATAATATGATTCATTGTTAGCAATCTTCTTTTTCTTCAACCCCCTCAACTGTGTTGCTTCTTCAAGTGTGTTGTCCCTTTCAAAATCCTTAAATCCCCTCAACCCTGGTTTAAGTCAGAAATATTCTAAGGTCCAAGTCTTGTTTCATGTCTTAATGTTGCACAGTTTGAACATACTATTGTTTTAAGAGTATATTCTTTAACATGAATGCTTAAAGTAATTATAGGCAATTGAAGATTGTAATTGATATGATATCTTATTCAAGTTTGATTCTCATATGTAGCATTTGATCATAATCAAACTACATAAGGAAAATTTGTTGTTTAACATGCTTTTACATTTCTATTTGTACTGCTTTTGTGAAATACTATGTTTTCATTTTGACACAATCATGCAAATCTGCAACTGAAGAGTTTTTGTTAACTTTTGTAAACTAATTTTAGAAGTTGTTTCTGAAAGCTATGTAGTGTTTGCATTTTTTTTCTTTTCATGTTTTAATTGCTGAGCAGCTGCCAGGTATTCACTGGTGGTATAAAACAGCCAGTCATGCTGCTGAATTAACTGCTGGATTCTACAATCCCTGCAATCGAGATGGTTATACTGCAATAGCGGCAATGCTAAAGAAGCATGGAGCTGCTTTAAACTTTGCATGTGCTGAACTGAACTTTTTGGAGCAACATGAGGACTTACGGGAAGCGCTGGCAGATGCTCGGGGTTTAGTCTGGCAGGTGAGGTTTTGAGAGCTCCTGATAAGCCTTAATATTTAATTATAGGCAATTAAATATGCACTTTTCCTTTCTCTTAGAGGAGTACTTTTCCTTTGTAAAAACCTAGCAATTTAGAAATTCATTTGCCATATTTTACTATAAATCCAATAGTGCTGATTCTTTATTCAAATCCAGAAGCTTAGTAGTTGTCTGTTTCAGGTGCTGAATGCTGCATGGGATGTTTGCATTCCAGTTGCAAGTGAGAATGCTGTTCTTTGCCTTGATAGGGTAGGCTATAACAAGATATTGGACAATGTCAAGCCAGTAAATGATCCAGAAGGGAGACATTTTTCATCTTTTACTTACCTTAGGCTCAGCCCACTTCTCATGGAGAGACAGAATTTCATGGAATTTGAACGTTTTGTCAAGCGAATGCATGGTAAATTATTATACACATTTTCTCTTCTAGACAAATTTTACTTTTTATTTTATCTATTGCTGGCGATCTGAGGTGGGGGGTTTAAAAAAAAGACTTGTGTCTACTGACGCCAAACAAGGAAAAGAAAAAGCCAAAAAAACACTGACAAAACTGAAACTAGAACAAGGAATGAACTAATAGTCAGAAAAAAAAAAAAAGAGTAAACTTCAACCTTGAAGTCCAAACGAAGAAAATCATTTTTGATTTTGGGCAATTGATATGTTGTATCTCTCTGAACTTAAAATTATCTTATCCCTTTCTAAATTGAAGATCCCAAATGTGGAATGAAATTGAGTTTGTTATGGCTTGGTTTTCCTAGTTATGGGACTGAGGTATAAAATATAAAGCTTGCACAAGATCAGGTGGTTAAATAGTGTGGCTTTTCCTCCCAGAAGTTTTAGTTTTAGTCTGTCTCTCCTTCCGGAATATGATGGCCGATAAGACTTGAGATTGCTTAGAATTTGTTGTATTAAGGATAAAGATCAATTTGGACAACACCATGGCATTGAGTGAAATATTTGACTCCTGTCTCATCTTTGCTGCAGGGGAAGCAGTTGTAGATCTCCTGGTATAGCAAGAAGGTACGAAAGCTCTTAAAATCATGTAACAACTGGTTTGCCCCTCAACAAATGTTGGCGGTGCAAGTTGCATATTAGGGGAATATTATTCTTAGTTTAATTTAACAAACAATTATGTAAATGAAACCATGGATATCAGTGGTGAATTATTTTGGACCGCTCCTTGACATGCCTAGCTGTTTAACATAGGTCAGGCGGTTAAATCAATCAATGATCAATGTACAATTTGAATTTCAGGACATTAACATTTCTCGAACGTAAAATACCCTAATATTTTTTCATGGATTACCAATGAATGATGGTAAACTCCTCTTTTTCTTCCTTTCTTGTATGTTTGAATTGACAATAAAAAGAAGCAAAAACTAGAAGGAAAGTGAAGCAGGAAGCTGTGCCATGTTTGGATGGCCTAGCGTCGGAGGTATTTACCTCGAAGTCTAGAGTTCTTGCGGCTAGATTGGATGACTTTCTTTTAATCCTTTAAAATCAATTTTAAAAATGATTCTAAATCAAAGCTATGATGCAATGGCCATTAGTAAATCACGACATGTATGGTAATTCTTTCACTCGTCAGTTTTTCCCCGACAGGAAAGAAGATAATTATCTCGAAACGTTCTTCCATATTCTATTATCCCCACTTAACTTGCAATTAATCCATGATGTTGAATGTGTTCTCCCTTCTGCCAAAGGGGCAAGATAAGGTGATTCTTTGGTGGTGGAACACCAAAAGTTTCCCTATCCTCCATTTGCCTCATGGCATTTGTCATCTAGGGTTGCTGTTACTTGGAAGATTATGACAATCAAAGAATGCTCAACTGGGATAAAATGGATTGACCTTTATGTACAAACTTTCTTATCATTCTTTATAACAATATCGTGGTAATCAAGCAATAAATCATGGAACAATGCATTTGTAGGCCTCTTTTCTTTTTGAGGCAGGGTGGGCACTGAGGTTGACTTCTTGAGCACAATGTGGCCAGACTCATCTACTACTTCAGAAAGGCGCTCTACAAAATCATCCAAACCAAGAAACCTCCTCACTTGATCTGCCAGAAAATTCGGCTTCTTCCATTTCGTGGAACGTTCCATATGATGAAGGTAAGTAAGCTTGAGGGATATCCAGAGCAACTGCCCTTTGAAGAGCTGCCTTGTACTCTTCACCAAGTTCTCGAGCAAGAGACTCCTGTCGCTCCATTTTCTGCTTTGCAGGAATCTGCATTATGCCATCTTTCTCCAAAATCAACTGCATTCAACAGAATGAGAGCTTAGTATTTTGTTGTAATAACAAAACTCTTTTCCCATTTTAACCATCTAACTAAAATGTTCCAGCTTTAACAGACTGGTACTCTTCTTGCATTGATTTACCATTTAGAGCAGTTGTCGAGATAATTTAAATGCAAAAGTAACACATAAACTTACACATGATTTTTCCCTATGCATCTTGTTAGTCGTTTCGCCTTAATTATGCTAAATGCTTAAGTAAAGGTTTAGAGTACAACACATGGCATCAGAAAGATCCTAAAGGGTAGATCCTGGCTCATAAAAACAAAAGTTAATGATAGTAGCCATATTTTTGGTCATTTTCAGCACCCAAAATGCTCCTTGAAGCTAATTAAGATTCTTAATATCTGTCACCTCCAACTGAAAGAAAACAGCTAGTTTAAGATCCAAGCTCTCACGTATATGCTGAAACATTTCTTTAATTGCTTTAATTGTAATCTTAGATATGTAAGGATTTACTACCTCAAAGCACAGTCTACAGCTCAAGAAGCTCTAAACTTACATCAAGTGCTCTTTGGGACTCTCTCTCTATCCAAATCATGGCATGGTCAGAGATTGCATTGCAGGAAAGAACTATATGCTCAAACCTCCCATCCACAGGTACAGCTGTCCTCACTACTGGGGGAAATCTTCCTATCCTGCAATAGGGAAAAAGGGAAACGCATATGAAGCACTGAACTGGAAATACATCCCAATTAATCCCAATAATATGTGATGAATTTAAGGGATAAAAAGAGATTCGTTTGACCACAGCTGGGACTCATTATCCTCTTCTACTAAGAATTCCCTTCTTTATTTGTTTCATACCAAGCAGACTCGTGTTTATTCATATACCAGCATTAATAATCAAGGTGTTTGACCCCTCTAGTAAATGGCATAGAAAACCAAATAATTCATCCTATATTCTAGAATGATTCACAAATTTGTTAATGTAAATCTCATAATACCTGCAGGGTTTTCTTTCAACAATGTGGTAAAGGCGACCAGGTGCATACAGCCGCCTTGGATCTTTAAGCATCTTCTCCTTCATGGTGAAAGTGTCCTTCAAGCACATTAGGCATAACAAACATGGTAAACTGCATATTGAACAGAAGTAAAACCAGCCCTGTTATGCAATCATCAAACCATTCCTATGATCAAAGAGAGATTGGCTTTCAAAAATCACATTCTGCAGAACTTTACATAAAAAATATTGGCACATACCAAATGTTAAGAAAATTAGTAATGGAAAGGTGACTAAGACATACTATATTTTACCAGAAGAGTGATTTGAAAACGTCTTCCAGAGCTGTGGTTGTTCGAGGTAAAAAATCATCCTGGTTCATTACAATAGCTCATGTTAGGACATAAGCATACAAGATATTATCAATCTGCATTAGAATATGCTGATCCCTAAACCTTCTAACCAAATTTGACGAACAGAAGTAACTGAAACAAGTCCATATAAACCAATATACAGCAAGCAAACATACATAGAAGCTTAGAATATATGGAATGACAATTTACCTGAAGCACAATAGAATTGATTACATCTGCATATCTAACCGCCAAATTGAGTGACATACACCTAGCAGGAGCGGTGGCATAGCATCTAATCCGCTTCCTCTCCATGATTCCCAGTTTGCTACGATTCTTAACTGCAACCATCACCAACAACGCTACCACCCCTGCCCCAAGGGAATGCCCTGCAAATGTCAAAGTGTAACTGGGATTCTTCTCAAGTAATTCCCTTAAAACCTCACACTCGGCATCAAATACCCACTCTGCGGCCTTCAATAACCCATTGTGCACATAACCACCATCAAATTTTGCTTGCCCCAGTTTGTTGTCAAGCAAAACAGCATAATCACTTTCCTTTGCTAAGTTAAGTCCCCTCACAGCCAAGACAACATCAGCATTATTATGATCCAAATAAATCATGTAAGGAGGAGCTCGGCCTTGAGTTTCTTGGTCATTTCTTCTTAAGATAACCCAATCAGGATCAATACCATAGCCTCCAGGGGGTGCCCAAATAGGGTTATGAAGATCATCTTCATAAACTGCTAGAATTAGACGACAAAGGCGTGGCACTGGCTCGAATTCCTCAGCTGTGGCTAAACCCCAATGCTCACTTTCATGGCCTGCAGTGTATAGACATTTCTGCCATACCCAACGGGCACAGGCTAAACAGTAGACACATTCAAGGACGGGACAGCAACAGGCGATTGACATAGACACCCCTACGAAGCAAACATGTTAATAACATACCATGAACTCCATGTACAATGTAATAAGTAAAAAGCGGGTTTTATTTTAATCAAAGGTGGACAGGAATTCTTAAGGTTGCGAAAAAACAGGGTTTAGAGAGCGATTAAGTATTAGAAGGAAACATCCAATCAGTGCATAATCCAACTAAACTAGAGGGATAATTAATAGGCTCTGAAATCCCAAGGGACCCAAGTGTCAGCCAAAAGAGTATATAGACATATATTACTGTGGTTCAATTGATATGCTTTCCCAAAGAGAAGTTTCCTGAAGAAACAACACTAAGAGTGTCGTATTTTCACTTCAGGTTTTGTAGGAACAGGGAGATCAAAAAAGAAAAGTTAATCATATCAAAGCTCCAACAACCACTACCATGAACAGGTGATAAAATAATAGAAAAAAATGAAAATTTTGAAAAAAAAAAAGAGAAAACTTTGAATTACAGAATGGGAATTGAAGGTATTAGGTACGGTATGTGAAGATTGGAGAAGTTTAGCGGTGAGGTTGCTTTATGTTCAGAGCTACTTTTATTATACTGGTTGGATAAGAATTAGCAAAGGAAAACAAAAACTGATGAAAGAAGAGACAAAGAGATAGAGAGTTGAAAGAGAAAGAAAGAAGGAAAGAAATAGATTGAAAGCCATGGCTGAATTAGCTATGAAGCTTAGCTGTACCTGCTAGTCAAACCCATTTGCTGGTTTCGAGCGTTTTCGAGTTGGGTTTCGAGAATCTACGCACCAGAAATTCTTTGATTCCATTTGCTTCCGTCGATCCATTCCATGCGCATCGCTTTCTTAACTATGGAGAGGAAGTGATGGGCCTAATTCCGGCCCATTTTTTTGGGACCTCCAGAGATTAGCCCAATGAGTCGAACACATTTTTTTCTTTATGTTTCTGGGCCAGTAAGTATGGACCCAACAACATTGTTTTTTTTTTTTAATTTGTTAACGGACCCAAGGAGCCCCGACCCGAATTACAACCTACAAATGGGCATGCAACGCCGAAAGAGGAAACCCTATCTCTTTCTCATTGTGCCGCTGGGGGGGTGAGACAGCTGTACTAAGCCTAATGGAAAATTAAAATCTTTCCCGAGTTGCGGAAGCTAATGTCTGTTATTCTCTTTCTTGCAGCTTCGAGATTTTCTTGGAGATTTTCAGTTGGAGCTGTTTGGTAGGTGAGAAAACACGCTGAAACTGCTATTTTTCGCCGCCTTCATTGTAGTCAATGTTATGTTGAAATTTAAAATGCATGTCAATAGCATAAAGTTTTGGCTCTGTTACTTCCTGGTTTCCGAGAAAACGAGGAAGAAGTCATTAAGGATTCTGGAATTTTGAAGGTTTTAGGCTTTGGGTTTCCTGGAAATGATTCTCTTTACACATTTTCGCTGGTTCCAAAACTAAAATCTGAAGTTCATAATTCCGAGTCTCTTCTTCCTTTTCTCAGGAACTGATTAGGGATTTTTAGTGAAGTATGTACTAAAAAATTCGTTATTCCAACTTAGTAGTTAAGGAGTTTGTCATGTCTTAAATTGAGGAAAGATGATTGGGACGTACTTTTGCTGAATTCAATTCGATGAATTTTAACCATCTGATTTGATCTTTTTTAACCTCATGTGCATTGTACTGTTAATGTCCAATCTTTAATGTGGTTGAACTGCTTGTTGGAACTTGTCGTACTTGCTTTGTTGCAAGTACGAAAGATTTTATCAATTTTTTAGCTGAGGAGATAATTTTGATGGTTTTATATTATGTTAAGTATATTTTAAGTTGTATTCAGTTAAAAATGTTCATGTGGGATGGTTAAAACTCATCAAATTGAGTTTCTTTTGTCTTTCACGTTTTCTATGTGAAAAAAGTGCTATGGGATCCCAATCATATTCTCATGTTGACATATTATGAAAATCTAAGATTGTTAGGTCTAGATCAATACTCAAGTTACTTCATTTTGGTCTGACCCTTTGTTGCTTATAACTAACCCTGTAAATTTCTTAAGGAATATGAAACAGTGTGGGAAATGATGTTTCGAGATGTTTTAGTTCTGCGGTTATCCTTTTATATTTGTACTAATTACTTTTGACGTAAATGATTTTCTACAATTTTGATTTATGCACATGCGTTGTTCTTTACTTGTTAGGAGCAGTATTTGGTTTATCAAGTTCTGCATACAATTTAACTTGTGTGGTTAGCTTCTTATGCCGTGTAAGCTTGGGGAAAAAGTGACTTATCATTTATGAGAATCTATTTATAAATATAATTTTTGTCTAGTGGTTTGTGTTCCTTTTAGAATACTTATAATATGACTTTGTAGATTCATGTATACACAAATGCCATTTCTTTTTTTTTTGTTTTTAATCTTTTTGGGTCTAAGGAGTGGAGTGGTGTTGCGGTTTGATATTCCTGTTCCATTCTATTCTTCTTTGGTATTGATAAGGTTTACTGAATTCACTTGCTTTTCTTGGACTGGTTGCCGGAGACGCTTCTTTCAGGTGATGGCTCCAAGTCAACCTAATATTGGCCTTTTTGTGGGCTTAAACAGAGGACATGTTGTCACCAAGAAGGAATGGGCTCCCCGCCCTTCTAATAGAAAGGGGTAATGTTCCATTGTTCAAAGTTCTCATGTTGTTGCACTCTCAATAATGTGCGCTTTTGAAACTATTTTGTAAAGCATAGAGAAGGTTCTATGATGAAGTCTTGGCAATTTACTTCAGGAGTGGCTTCTTTTTCATTCAAACCCTGTAGATATCTGCATTTTTTTATTATTTCTATAACCTACCTTCATTTGTCTTGATGATATGCTCTGCATTGTTGAAATATTCTCTATGTTTGTCTATGTTTTTTTTTTTTTTTTTTTGGTTCTAGAAAACCAGCGAGAGAGTCCATTTTGTGAGGAGCCTAATTAGGGAGGTTGCTGGTTTTGGTCCTTATGAGAAGAGGATTACTGAACTGCTCAAGGTTGGAAAAGATAAGCGAGCTTTGAAGGCGGCAAAGAGAAAGTTAGGCACTCACAAGAGGGCCAAGAAGAAGCGTGAGGAGATGTCCAGTGTTCTCCGCAAGGTGAGGTACTTGATCTAATTATGACTCGGTCATTATTATCACTATTTAATGATTTTTCCATTCCAATGAGGTTTACATGCTGATGCATTTCTTGTCTGTTACAGGTCAGCTGGAGGTGGAGAGAAGAAGAAGTGAGTTGCACTCTGCTTGTGCTTCATAAACGGCTTAAACTCTCGGATGTGTGGAATTTTCTTTTCTGTCTTGTTTTGAGAGTTTTGACTTGCTTATAGAGCTCAAAATCTTGTAGTATTGCTTCCAAAATTTGAGAATATTGTGTTACAGAATATTTTGGGATCTAAAGATAGAACGAATATTTTTGCCTCATTTGCACTTTGCTGGGGTGAATCCTTGAATGGAACTTGAAATGATTCAAGTTTACTCTTGAATCTGATTGCTGGGCAGAGCTGGGGCATCCTTGGTCTTACCCTTGATTTGGTCGTATGGACGTCGGTAACAAAAGATGTGGCTTGAAAATTGGTTCACCTCCGATTAAAATCTCACAGTTTTTATGCTTGAGATAGGTTCGTTACTAAATCGAATTTCATGATTAAAGTCTCACTCGAATCATTGTTGAATTTCTTTAACATATAAATATTATGTCTCAAAAAAAAAAAAGAAAATTATGTTGTCAGCTTCTTTCCAAGACTTAGATATGCAATTTGATTTCTTACATTAATGTTCAACATTTTTTTATTTATTATTTTGAAAAGAAATGTTCAACATTTTAAAAGCTTTTCTGAACTCGGGATTAATCTTCTTTTAAAAAGTGGCCTTTAAATATTATTATCATAAATTTAATAATTTATATATTTGTGCGGTAATTTTTATATAAAATATAAATATTATTATGATACAATTCATATTAATATATTAAACATAAAATATATTTTTTTATTAAATTTAACTATTATTTTTATTAAAATTTTCAATTTTATCGTTTTCATTTTTTAATATATATATTTTTTATGTTGCATGATATTTAAAGTTACCTGATGAACCTATTATTATGTAAGAGATAAAATTGAGTTAAGTGAATTATTTTGAAATTAATTTAAAAGTCAGACACGTATTCATGCGCCTAACCCGAAACACTTGATCCCAACCTCTACTCCTTTTTATAGCCCGTCACATTCTAGTCTGCAATTTCCACTTTCCTTCTTACATTTAAGCTTAAGTATGAGCACCGAAACAGGTGAATATTTCTGTTTTAGTCTGTATCGTTAATTCCCGGTATTCCTCTGTTTGGACAACGAGAAACTGCAAGAAAATATTGTCGCGGAAGATTTAATCTCTACTCATGCGCTAAGTTTCTCCGAACTGTGTGAAATCTTTTTGTTATTTTTTATTTTTTGCAGTGGTCGAGTTTTTGGGCAACGTTCCATTGCTGCAGAGATTACCGAGTTCTTTGTTCAGAAAAATTGCTGAAGTCGTAAATTTTAAGCACTATGGTAATTTTTTAAATTCTGATCCAAATTCAATTAAATGAAATGTTTGCGATTTGATTTTCCGTTTATTTTGTTCGTCTATTTTTCTTTCATTTGCTTTATATGCAACCAAACAGAATCTCTGATCTGTTTAGATCAAACCACTTTGAGTATTACTAAATTTGATTCATTTACTGGATTTGCTTGAAATGATTTGCGTTTCAGAGAAAGGACATTATGTCGTTCGTGAAGGTGAAGTTGGAGATGGAATATATTTTGTATGGGAAGGAGAGGTCTGTTTTTGCTATTTTACGTACATTATTATTTCTTTTTCTCCTTTTAGGTAGGCTCTGTTTGGTTGTTAATTTTTCTTTTTTTTTTTTTCTCAAAAATTATTCAAAATGTAGATGCAAAAAAAAAATTTTTTTTGATTGCCATGAGAAACAGCTGAAATGTAATATACAGTTAATCATAATTGTTTTATGAAAAGGTAAAATTTTTTATTCAAATAACTTATATTTGTTTTTAGAAGCTAAAATGTAAACCAAACAAATTCCTTTTTCTTTTAAAGTTTGCTGAGGTTCAATTTTGTGGTTTATAGGCTGAAGTCTCTGGATCAGTCCATGCTGAGGAGGAAAACCAACTTGAGTATCAGTTGAAAAAATATGATTACTTTGGCAACGGTTGGAGTCTTTCTTTCCCTCGTGTGATATTTTTTGCAACTTATAAGTATTGCTCATTAATTCTTATATGAAAAGAGATGGCTTCAAGTCAACTATTGATGGAGACATTCATCCTCAATAGAATTTAATTGAGCTTACTTTTGCAGTTGCTTCCACATCTGTTCATGTGGCAGATGTAATCGCTTTAACTAAGGTAGCTATATATTTCTTACTTCTCCCTGGCATAACTTTTCTTGACAAGTACATCATACCAACTGCTTAAACATATGAAAATGCACCATTTGGGAAAACTAATATGGACTATTTTTTGTATTGCCTTTAACTACAGCTAACCTGCCTGGTGCTACCTCATCAACACTGTGGTTTGCTTCAGTCAAAATCTATCTGGAGTGCAGATAAGACACTTGAGACCTCTGCACTTGTGGAAAGCATATTGCATTTGGAGCCAATAGAAGTAAGCTTTTTCTTTTGTCATTTTCTTTTCTTTTGGCTCAAAGCTTTAGATTTCTGCTTACCTTATAGAGCATCTATAACTTGAGATATTTTCATTTTATCGAGTAGAAATTTATAATAAAAATGCTGCTTGTTGTGAAGATTATATTGTTAACTATGGACAGTACTCACCCTTCAACTGCACTATAAATGTATATGAGATAAGAGCTTTTTGATTTTCAAATAGTGGCTTGTTTAACATGTGAATAAATAAATGACAAGTTTCTTTTGAAGGAACAATAGCTGAATAATCATAACTGCAGGAATGGAACTCTCTGAGCTTGCATAGATTTTAAGGCTCAACCTATGAACTCATGGTCCCCTGCTCCCAGCCATGTGTTGGAAACTAATATTTCTCCCTTTTTCCTCTATATTGTGTCCTAATCTTCATGTAACCTCAGCAATCATGTGCCGCCCTCGCCCTTTTCATCAGCCACCACCTTAAGCTAAAAGAATTATGCTGCATGTATAGTTTCCTTCATCTAAAGTTGGTAAAAGTATAATGAAAGTACTTATTGCCAAATGGAAAAGTGAGAAGTTATAGAGTTAATGTTTTCGTGGTATACTTTTAACCATGCCATTTTTCTTTCCTTAGTGACCCATGCTAAATAGTGTTGGAAAACACTTGATCTAACTAGATTATTCTTATAACATCTATACTAAGGCTTTGTTTCTATTTGTTGAAGCTGAGCATATTCCAAGGAATTACTCTGCCAGATGCACCGAAATTTGGGAAGGTCTTTGGAGGACAGTTGGTTGGACAGGCATGTTTAAGCTTCTTTGTTTCCTTCATTCTGCTTGTCTATGTGGTTCCTCAGGTTTAGCTTTTATGATACCATATTTTAGACAAATATATTTAATGTAGGCCGGATTCTTTCCTTGTTTTTACTTGTGTTCTTGATTTATATCATAGTCAATGATATTTCAGCTCTGTTGCTTTGAGTCAAGATTATCAGTTTATAGTGGTAGTTTGTGAGGTTAATGGTGGCCTAATATATTTTTGCTGATAAGTACAAATGATTCATAGATGAAATTGTTTGCACAAACACTGAACCTCTTGCTTGTGGAGCAAAATGGTAGACATATATACTGTTGTGCTCATTAGTTTATTTATATGGTATATAACTACTTAAATATTTAGGTTGGAATTTAGTTCATAGCAAGGTAGTATGTTTTCTGCATAGAATCTTTGAGAGAGAAAAAAGAAAATTAAGTAAACTTGGCTTATGTCATGATATGTCAACATACTGTTTGATTCTGATATGTCAACATTAAGTGGTTTAATTCACTTAATGGACTTAGTAACTGTTGTCCTATTTGCTTCCTGTTGATTATTATACTGTTTAAAATAAGCTAACTGTTTCCTTCCTTTTCTTATTTGTCGTCATGTATTCAGGCACTGGCTGCAGCTTCAAAAACTGTTGATTCTCTTAAAATTGTCCATAGTTTGCATTCTTATTTCCTTATGGTTGGGGATTTTAATAGTAAGTGCCTTATATGTGAGCATTAGTGCAATAAATAGATTCATCATATGTATTTTGTTTTTAGAAATGTCCTACCAATTATATATTTACATTTTAACTCAATATATGCATGGCTCACAATAAATGTGTCATTATCCCATCATTTTCAAACTCCATAACTCATAATATGTCCAAGCTAATAAATTTCATTCTTCATTCTTTGTTACCTCCCTGTCATCGTTCCTAGCCTCCTGTACTTTTAAATTGAAGTTATATACTGGAAGTAAAGAGTGTAGAAGATATGCCATAACTTATGTCCTCAGGGAAATCAATATTAGGTGCCAAATTGCGCTAGTGGATAGAAAAATTATAAATCGTTACCCACTTTTCATCTCTCAAAAAAAGGTTTGCACAAAACTACAGAAACTATTTTGAGCCTCCAAGAGCTTATTAGTTCTACCCAATTGCTTATGAATTTATCTTAGTAACGTTGGTTGGGTGAATGGCATCGATCATGCTATTCTAGCTTGTGTTTGTGTTTAATGAGTATGTAATTTTGTGAGTAAATATATAAACATCCTTCTTATCAAGAAAAGTAAGCTGCATGAATTAATCATGGCTGTTACATTGTTTTTATTTATTGAACCTTGCATTTTAAATCACTGATTGATCCTCTTATTGAAATTAGGAGTTTAAGTAAAAAAGTTTGTAATAGCTGATATTTACACATACTTTTACAGTACCAATAATATATCAAGTTAATCGTCTACGTGATGGTAGAAACTTTGCTACCCGTAGAGTAGATGCAATACAAAAAGGAAACATCATATTCACATTACTAGCTTCTTTCCAGGTATGCAGTATCTTCGTCTTGTTTATATTCAAAATAAACATCTACTTTCTTATTTCATCAGTTATTGATTTGTTTAGTATGTTGTCTGAGCTTGAATGTTGGACAACTCTTGACTGTTAGAGTGCAATTCTTCCATAATAAATCTGTGAAGAACTATTAGGATGCACTCTTTCATTTCAAGGGGTAGTTAGTATGTTTCATGCTATCTGTAGATTGGTATTGTTAGGAAGAAAAATAGTATACATGGTGGTTTGGAAGAACCTTAAAGATAAGAATTTTGGATTTTGGGATGGTAAACTCAAAAGATAGATCGTATTAGTATTAAAGCATAAGAACATTGAGTTGGATATGCCCTTTCCAACTTGTTAATAAGCCAATTATTTTCTATATAGAAAATTTTTAAAGAAGATATATACTTTTTAGATGCAGAGCTAGATGTTTGATAATGATGGTTTAGATAACAATAGTTTACTCCACTGGTCATGTTCTCTATTTATTATTCTTTTTGATAGTGGTTTGTTGGCACAATTATATGTGGGACTTTCATTTTTTACCTAAATTCTTAATCTGTTGTAAACTTGTAATACATGCTCAAGTGATAGCTGCTGAAAGGGTACATTTAGCATCTTAGATTACTTGTAATTTTGTGAGTTGATTTTACAGAAAGAAGAAGAAGGCTTTGATCATCAAGAAACAATGATGCCATCTGTGCCAGCTCCAGATGTGGTAACTAATATTTTCTTAAGTTAACATTCACAGTCATTTCTGTGGTGGATAATTGGATAAAAGTATCACTCTTTGACCTATTGCAGCTTCTGTCATTGGATGAGCTACGAGAATTACGTCTCACTGATCCCCGTCTTCCTATGTAAGACTTTAAATACTCACTACTATTGTAATTTCTTTATTTATATAATTTATTTCTTCAATTTTGCATTTATCTCATTTTTTCTCTCTGTGCTTGGTTACTTGTTTTTTTTTTTTTGGCCAAGGTTACTTGTTTGTTTTGTTGTAAAGTTCCATGACCATTGGCAAAAAATAAAAGTTTCATGACTCATAATCTGTTGTTTCAGGAGTTATCGAAAAAAGGTTGCCACAACAAAATTTGTTCCTTGGCCCATAGAAATAAGGTTTTGTGCACCTAACACTAACACAAACCAGACTAAATCTGCTCCGAGGTTAGCCATGTTTTGTGGTGTTACGTAATCTTAGCTTTTCCAATTCACATCGAAACATGAATGTTATGTTGTAATTTGCATTTACTGATTTAGCTGCTGTCTTATTATTTATCATTTAGGTTTTATCTTATTTGAGAATGATAATTTGCTTTACAGTTTGAGGTATTGGTTTAGAGCCAAAGGAAAACTTTCAGATGATCAAGCTTTGCACAGGTCAGTTATCCCTCTTAAATGCTAAATTCTTTCTGTTTTTTGTCTATATGTTTTCATGACGACTTTTGCTCTGCTCATTACTTGGCAAAATTCTCTTTTTTTTTTTTTTTTCGGCATACGATGTTGCTTAATTAAGTTTGTTCTGTCTATTTGATTCACATGCTTACCAGAAGTATAAACATATGGCAACAATATTGGACTAGCAACTTCAGGGAGCAGTGTAGATCAGGCTTTCTTATCTTTTTTTATTGATTTTATGTGCTATTACGTGGTTGTTTTTTGCAGATGTGTAGTGGCATTTGCTTCAGATCTGATATTTAGTGGTGTCAGTTTGAATCCACACCGCAGAAAGGGTTTTAAGTCAGCTTCCCTTAGCCTGGACCACTCGTAAGCATCTGCTAATCTGCATCATATTAATTTTATTCTTTTTGTGTGTGGTTTATACTTTATATAATTCATTTTCTCTTGCTTGCTTCTATATTTAGAAAATTTTCATATTGGTCAAACACCTCCCTGGTCCCCAAAAATACACCCACACATACATGATATGTCGCTGTGACCCTTCATTTTTTCTGAAATACTTTTGTTTGAAACATATCCAATGGACACGGTATAGCTTTCTAACCCTTCAAGTAAAAGGAAAATATTAAGAATAATTGAGCACATATAAAAAAAAAATAAGGAGTTCGAACATATCTTTATTTTTTCCCATACACGTACTGCCCATAGACCCACTTGGTGTATCACATCTCTTTACTCTTTCTTTCCTCTTTCCCAGGATGTGGTTCCATCGGCATCTTAGGGCTGACGACTGGTTATTGTTCGTGGTAGGTGTCAGATGATGTCTGTTCTCATGTATGATTACATTTTGTTCTTCACTTATATAATGAAAGAAAATCACAAGTGAAACCAATGTCATGCAGATACTGAGTCCTACAGCCTGTGTCACTCGCGGCTTTGTTTCAGGCCAAATGTTTAACAGAAAGGGAGAGGTACATAGTTTTTACTTTATCTTCAGGCATTAGCGTTGTTCCTTTGCCTTATCTTTTTCTGCTTTTTGATTTCCCACCAATCCTATTTTTGTTATTACCAACACAATCATTCGTATGTTGATTTGCAGCTTGTTGTATCATTAACTCAAGAAGCACTGCTTAGGATGGTTAGGTACCCCAACCCTCCGGCTGTATCAAAGCTTTGAACAACTCTATGATATTTTTTGCATAAAGCTTTTATGATCATAGCTGTAATGTAATATAGCAGGAAATTGGCACGTAGCTGTTTTTACCCTTAGCATCCGAAATAATACGGGTAATAATCAACTTTTTCAACATACTGATGGATTAATCCTCCTTAATTTGAACCTTATTTATTATACGACGATCCAAAGACGAAGTATAGTGGCGTGGCCGCATGGGTTTGAATGATTTTAAGTATTGCAATTTCTCTCTTCCTTCTTGCTTTTAGTGGACTTGGATCACATTTTACTTATGTTGAAAATTTTAGAATGCAAATTTGATCCTTATTATATTAAGGGATAAAAGGCAAAGTTTACTAGTACTAGTAATTGTATTATTATATATATATTATGGTCTTAATTTTTTTCCTTTTGAGAAAATGAAACCCAATCAATGAAGAGTATATTTTTTTATATATTAACAGCCAAAATTTTTAATTTCACAGATGAAATTAAAAAGATTGTATCATGTTTTAATATTATTTTATTATTTTATTTTAATTTAAAAGGAATGTGTGATCTTGCTACTCTTAATATTGAAATTTAAAATTTTCACTTTGAAGTGATAGGGATAAGTTTTCAAGAAAAAAAAAAAAGAAATACTCCAAGGGAAAAAAATTCAAGAAAGTTAAAATTTTCTTTTACTGGCAAGAAAGTTAAAGATAGAAATTCGTTATGGTTTATTGGTTTTCTTTCTTTTTTTTTTTTTTTAAGGAAAAGTGTTCATATTGGTACTCATTCACCAAAAACCTGAAGTTGGGCTGATACGCAGGCCCAAGGGCAACTTGGGTTCAGTCGTTATCCCTGCGGCCCTCAATTGTCCAATTCTCAATAATCACGTTATTAAAATCACCCCCCCCCCCCATTCCCAAAAAAAAAAAAAAAAAAACTTATTAGTTCGGAAATTCTACCCTCCAAATTTGCAGCTTCCATATAGCTCTTCAATCCCCGTTAGTCGATTTCCCTCATTCCCGATTATTACAGGTCAGCTTTTTCTCTCTCTCTCTCTCTCTCTCTTTTTTTCCCTTAATTTTCCTAATTTCTTATATAGTTATCTCTTCGACCATTACCTCAATCTTGTCTTTTGTTTTTTATATTGGTTTTTCCATTCAAATGTTTGATTGCAGCGTTTTCTTTTCCCCTTTTGGGACCTTTATCATGTTGCTTAAGATAATTAGTTTAGCGAATTTGATAGTTTTCTAGTTATTTAGGTTATCGATCTCGTTTGTTTGGCAAATACAATTTTCGTCAAAAGATAAGTTTGGGGAAGGAATTATTCGTTTTGTTTGGGTCAATATCTAGCTCCTTAATTTCTAATGTCTTTGTACAAGATCAATTCTAGCTTGAATCTTTTAGTATTTTTCCCAAATCAAAATCCAAAAACGCATTGAAAGTATTTTTCTTTCAATTATCAATTTATTAGGTTTGGGGGAACTTTATTTGACTGTGGGATTTCAATGGAGAGTCTGGAAGGAGGATCAGATGGTATCAGTCAAATGAAGCAAACACAAGAGCCACTGATATGTGGGCTTCCTGATGATATCGCGCTTTTCTGCTTGGCTAGAGTCCCTCGAGAGTATCACGTTGTCCTCAAGTGTGTTTCGAGGAGATGGAGGGACCTGGTGCATCGTGAAGAGTGGCATGCTTATCGTAGAAAGCAGAATTTAGGTGAAACTTGGATCTATGCTTTGTGTAGAGACAAGTTTGAGCAGATTTGTTGTTATGTATTGGATCCCAATTCCTTAAAAAGGTCTTGGAAGCGGATGCTGGAGCTTCCATCTTGTAGCTTGCGGAGAAAAGGAATAGGTTTTGAAGTGTTGGGGAAGAAACTTTACTTGATGGGTGGCAGCAGATGGTCTGAAGATGCTACTGATGAGGTCTACTGTTATGATGCTTCTAACAACACTTGGACTGAAGCTAATCCCCTATCAACCGCAAGGTAATGAACTTTCTTCTGTTCCTCTCGAAGAAGTTATTCCTGAAGGTTGCAGTGGTAATTTAAGCTCATCAACTCCCTTTCCCTGTTGTCTGTGGGAAAATAAATGAATTATGGATACTTATTTATATTTTACCTCTAAAAGAAAATTAATTTTTATGCTCCACTTATTTTTTATGGAATTGTTACATGATAATCAGGCCTTGTAGTTTCTCCATTTTTGCTTGCCTGTTAAGAGAATACTACCTATCTTTTAGATAATTTTAAAGTAATCTTGGGGTTTTATGTGCTCAGGTGCTACTTCGCTTGTGAAGTTCTTGATCAGAAAATCTATGCAATCGGGGGATTGGGTTTAAACTCAAGCGTTCCACATTCTTGGGAGACTTATGATCCTTGCACAAACAATTGGAATTCTTACTCAGATTCAAACATTATTCCTGAAATTGAAGATTCTTTTGTATTGGATGGGAAGATCTATATTCGCTGTGGCAGATCTGCTGTAACTTCCCATGTTTATGCAGTAGTTTATGAACCATCGAGTGGCACTTGGCAGCATGCAGATGCTGAGATGGTGTCAGGCTGGCAGGGTCCTGCAGTTGTTGTAGATGGGACTCTTTATGTGCTGGATGAGAGTTCTGGAACAAGGTTAATGATGTGGCAGAAGGATATTAGGGAGTGGGTGGCCATAGGGAGGCTTTCATCCCTGCTTACAAGACCACCCTGCAAGCTTGTTGCCATAGGAAAGAGCATTTATGTGACAGGGAAGGGGCGGAGCACAGTAGTTGTTGATGTTAGCAATGCAGGAAATATGGAAGGGATGATGGTAAGTTCTTCTATACCTGAACTGAGTTCAAATGATGAGATAATAAGCTGTAAATGTTTGGCCATCTGAATTATTTGGTACTAGGAAGGCTTGGGCTTGGATTTGTGGAAAGTCTATTGTTTTGCTATATTCTGAAAACAATAAGTTCTGACCTCAGAATGAAAAATCATTGCTTATGTAACTTACATGTATCATTCTATACAAGACTTTTCAGTTTCTACTAACAGTTGCATCCAACATGTATTACTTTTGTGGATTGACATCGATTGTTATAACTGGTATGCTAGTAGAGACTGCTTAAATAGCAGCTTTGAAATTTAGAATGACCGTAATTGATGATTGCCTTGCCCTTCAATAGCTGAAAACTGTCATGAAATTGCAAAACAATCATGGCATTACAGTTATAGTCTTGCAGGATATCGACTTCAATTATTTGGAGCAAGGTTTCAAACTGATCGTTTAAAAGAACGAAGGATACAAACGTTGCGCAGAAGCCAATTTTAACAATAATTACATTCCAAACAGCTCTACATGTTAAAGAACACAAACAACAAGGGGATTGGTACACAAAATTGAAATCAGTGCTTTCATATTACATCTACAAGGGGAAAAAAATTTCCCAAATCCAATTAGCCCTTTTCTTCCAAAATCTAGATGCAATCGCACCACAATTTCCACCTGTCAAACATGAAAATCAGCCTTCATTGAGTCAACAAATTTTCTCTTTTTAAAAGCAGGATGTATAATGCCATTATAAGAGTCTAGCTTCTCAATCCTTGAAATACACTCTTTCATCCGCTTCATAACAACTGGCATAGCCGAAATGTTACTTGAAATTTTTTCTTTAACTAACCGTATCTTCTCTTCTGTGCTTCGCTCTTTATCTGATTCAATCTCTTCTGAATCTATAAAATACAAAATCTGGGTCAATTATCAAGAAAGATTTATCAATCCCAATTTCACAAACCCCAGAAAGTTTACGGACATACCCGCATTATGTTCTCTTGACGGTCCAGGCTCCGACCCATCATCGATCCCTGGTATATTAGGTCTGTGAGTAGAGAGAATTGAATCGAGAGTGGTCTTAAGCTGATCTGGAATAGAGGATCTGTATTCTAGAATCTTCTCTGCCAATTTCTTCACATCCGATTCCAGCTCCTCCAAGTCCTCTTCGGATTCGGGTTCCGATTCGACTCGTCGATTCTCAAAGCAGGTCTCTAGGGTTTTCAGTTTATTGTTTAGAGCCATGGACTAAAGGAGAGGATTTGAGTTTGATTGCAGGGAGCTTTTCCTGGAGACGTTAGGGTTTTGAAATTTGAAATTTTCGAGCGTAAATCTTATCTGTGAGATTTTCTCTGGGTTTTGCCTGTTACTGGTTTTGATTTTGGAAACCCTGCGAAATAAGCCCACTTAGGTGAAAACGACGTCGTATCCGCCTGGTCCATTAAACGAATGACTTACAACAAGTTAACGGCGTCGTTTAGAAGTTGACTTCGTCCTCACTCCTCCTATGCCCATTCATCTTCCGTCATTCGAATCCCCCGCCAGAATAATAAAAAACGGTTGAGAGAAAATTCTATTCGTTGTTTGTTTCCTAAAACCAAAATCAAGACAGGAGGAAAAAAGAAAATTAAATTCATTCTTTTCTCAGTAACCAAACAGAAAAATTATCTAAATTCTTCTTTCAATCCCAACGTTGAATTCGCTTCTTGTCAAGCTCAATTTCCAGGCGAAGCTCACGAGGCGGTAATATCTCATAGTCAAAATCTGTGAGACCAGAGACAAAATACAACAAAAAAGGAACAAGAAAAAACTTTGATGACTACGAAGAATACGATGAAGAAAATTTTGTACTTTCCTACATTATTAATAGTCACAGCTTCGATTTTAAGCCTTTTTTATTAAAGCTTATATATGTATATATATATATATATTCTTTTTAACTCTTTCGATCCTTTCAAGTTTCAACAACTCCTTGCAATCACAATGGAAGATTTCAGGCCATCTGCTCCTTCTTCAACGGTAAATTCAATCTCTTTAAAAAGATTATAACTCAAGGTTAACCAATTTTATTTATTTATTTAATGAATTAGAAGGATTCTGTGTTGGAACGGAGGCTGGTGCAACAGAATATGGATTCAGGGGGTCCTTATAGGCTGCTTCAATGTTCAAGTAAAGGCGATAAAGCCGGAGTCATACAAGAATTAGAGAAAGGGGTGGATCCAAATGTGGCTGATTATGATAGGAGAACGGCTCTTCATTTAGCAGCTTGTGAAGGCTGGACTGAAGTTGTTGTTCTGCTTCTTGAAAAAGGAGCTGATGTTAATTCTTTAGATCGTTGGTGTCGAACTGTAAGTTTAATTTATATTCTTCTATTTCTAGCGTGGAGATTTTTATTTTTGGTTATATTGATTGATCAGAAAGGATTTGATGCGGGCAATTTTTGTAGCCATTGTCTGATGCGCGTAGCTTTGGTCATCATGAGATTTGCAAGATACTTGAAGCTAAAGGGGGAACTGATCCGGTATTTTGTGCTTTTATAAGGCGGTTGTTAATCTTATTACTTCTGTTTAAGATTATGTTTTAGTTCTCAGAATGCCAATTTCTGCATGTAACCAAAATGTCTACCTTTTGCTTGAGAAATTATGCATGTGAACAAGAAAGTCATTCCGTTTTATTCTAGGGAATCTTATAAAGCTCACTTCCAACATTATCTGACTCGTCCACTGGTATGTATAGTTCACAAAGATGAAAGCAGGCAAGTATCAAATACAGTTATTCAAATACATCTCGGTTCTTTGCATGACACTTAAGTGTCCTTATTAAAATTTGAGACTTCTGTTAGTGTTCAAAAATCATAGGCCAATGCAAAATAACTCAGTTACTCGTTAACTACACGAGTTATAGAGTAGAGGAGTGTCTGCCCCTGTGTGTGTGTGGGTTGGGGGGGGGGGGGGGTACTTATCATGTTGCGTTTCATTCAAAATCTTAATCATCATTTCCTTGAGATAGGTGGGAGTTGACTCTCAAGCTCCATGCTTTGAAATTGATCACTATGAGGTGAACATGGATGAAGCAACCCTTATCGGAGAGGTAATTTCCTCCCTTTTTAATTTCTTGGAGCATATATTTAAAATTGAGGGAATCTGATATGATTTCCCCACCTTGCTTTTTCCTGTTTTTGCCATTGCCTTAAATTTTGATTCTTCCTCCTTTGGGTGGTATGTGCCTCGTTTTTTTCTTTTTTATCAATCTTTATATTTTTGGTGGTATTTCACCCATACTTAAGTTATTTAGTATACCAGGGAGCGTATGGTGAAGTTTATTTGGTAAAGTGGCGAGGCACTGAAGTTGCAGCCAAGACAATTCGTTCCTCCATTGCATCAAATCCTAAAGCAAAGTAAGTTTCATATGCTATGATTTATAGCAAGCTTCACTCTCTCTATCTCTCTCTCTAAGCCCTTCTTAAAGTAGTTCTTTTTAGTCAGACTTTTATCTGTTCATCACTACAAGTTTGAAAGGAATTGCCTTTATGACAAAGGTTGCAGATCAGTAAAGCTTGAATTATGGTAATTCTAGCTTAACAATAATAGTGACTTTGCCTCTCTGCTGTCGACTATTTAACAGAAATATCTTTTTGACGGAACTGGCTTTGTGGCAAAGGTTGCGCCACCCTAATATAGTGCAGTTCTTTGGTGTTTTAAAGCACTCTGATCGTTTGATCTTCCTCACTGAGTACCTACGGAATGTGAGTCTTGCCCCATTATATTATGATCAACTCTTGTAAGATTTTCTTGTCCTTATTTAAATTGTGTTGAGTTAGGGAAGTTTGTATGATATATTGAAAAAGAAGGGAAGACTTGATCCACAAACAGCCATTTCCTATGCTCTAGATATTGCAAGGTACATATTACTGCCACTTTTCTGTTTATGTTTGTTTGACTGTTTGTATGATAGTAGTAATACTGTGAAAAGTAATACTAGTAAATCATTGATAAACTTCCGCTTCCAAAAATCTTGTCCTGTAATTCAGCACCTGCTACTCTGCATTTTGATTATGTTGACTTATAGTGTTGTTGGAGCTGATATCTTTTAAACCTTGCAGAGGCATGAATTATCTCCACCAGCATAAACCACATGCTATAATACACAGGGATTTGACACCAAGGTATTGCAAGTTAGATCTTTCAGCTGATGACCTAGTCAAATCTTTGTCAATCAGAAATTCTGTGAACCAACTAGGAGTACATGCTTACATAGGTAAGCTGCAATTGAAATTGGCAAAATTCTGATGCCTTCATTCTGTTGGACCTGCAGGAATGTGTTACAGGATGAAGCAGGCCGCCTTAAGGTTACTGATTTTGGTTTGAGCAAGCTTGCCCAGGAAAAGGATTCATATGGTTACAAAATGACTGGGGGAACTGGTTCATGTAAAAATCACTACCTTCTGAAAGTTAAATATTAATAAATTACAAGTGTTGACTCAGATGTTCTTTTGAGATTTGCCAGATCGCTATATGGCACCTGAGGTTTACCGCCGGGAATCCTATGGGAAGAGCATTGATGTCTTCTCCTTTGCTTTAATAGTGCATGAGGTAACTTAAGTTGGAAATATGGATTGTTTATAAATGACTTTGTTCATATTTTTGTGGAAATCTTCTGTATTGATCAATTAAACTTCATGAACAAAGTTCTACCAAATTGCTTTATCTTTTATAATTTCTTACTGATAGCTTTCATGGTAGTTCAAATATGGCTGTCTAAATATCATCTGGTTGTTGCTTTAAATTTCCTTACAGATGTTCCAAGGAGGACCATCACATAGAGGGGAAACAGCTGAACAAGTAGCAGACAAAAGGGCATATGAGGATTTGAGACCACCTCTCTCTTCATACATATACCCTGAACCAATCAAAACGTGAGTTCTCTTGGTTTACTTTCCTGATTTGCCACTTCAGGTTGTTGATAAGCAATTGTTATTTCATACGATAAAGTGAACCTGAGAATCCAAGAAAAACTTCCAAATCAATCATTTCCATAGAACTTGCGGTGGGGAAAAAGAACGTGGAGCAACCGACAACTTGGGGTAGTTAAGATAAAACATAAGGAATCATTTAGTTGGTTAACATGGTTAGAAACTAGCACTTGTAAACTGGCATGTGACATTTTGGTGCCATAAGAAATTGCAGGAATTGTAGAATTGTGTTTGAAAGTTGAAGCATGTGCCATTATAAGGTTACTCCTTGACAATACCTTCCCCCTATCACTTCTGTCATCTAAATTTGCATCAGCAACCAAACATGGATCTTGCTTTTAAATTAATTGAATTAATTTAACTGCATTACATTATTTTTGTCATTTTGTTTTGCATGAAGTATCTAAATCAAATGGTTTTCATTGTCCTAATTCAGTCTTCTTAGAGAATGCTGGCACAAGAATCCAGATTGTCGACCAACATTCGAAGAGATAATATTAAAGCTAGAGGTAATCCAACAACGTTTTCAACGTAAAAATGCAATGAAAGCCTGCAGTTGCTGTGTTGTCTTATGAAACTAGCTAATCTCATCATAAGCAGAGTATCTTATTCATTTTCCATGTAAGCTTTTTCAATATAATCAATGTATGTCTCTCCTTTTAACTGTGTTCTTTGATTAGAATCTGTATTAATTTTCTTCACAGCAAAAACAATGTAAACAAGAATGTTAATAATCCCTTTGATGTTTGTGTACAAAAGAACCTTATGGGGAACTCTACACACGGATATATGCAATCCATGCTGTCTCTCTTTAGGTTTTGCTTGATACTTCTATTTTTGTTAATAAACAATATAATTAGAGTGTATCAAACAGCCCTCCAAGTTGAGAAGCATTGCTTGCGATAAAACGTGGAATGAATGATTATTAAACACATTTAGAGTGAAACCAAATTGAGATCATTGTGTATTATCTCTATTAATATATGGTAAAACATCTGGCAGAATTTATGTTAGAAATTTGATTTGCAAACTTAATTAGCATAATTTACTAGACTTAATAAAAAAAAACATGATTTTCATAATTACATTAAAATTTATGAAATTTACTGTATCTCTAATGGATAATGAATTTGGGAAAGTAGGAAATTATATATTAAATCTGTACTAATTATAAATAATGCTTAAATTCATCTTCACCATCTTACCAATAAAAGCAAAACCAAATCAAAATTAGAAAATATAATAATATATAAATAGGTTTCCAGGGATTGCCGAACTTTAAAAAGCAAAGTCATGTATTAATAAGAAACCTAGGGAAATGACTCAACAAGCGGTCTGGGTGGTGTAGTTGGTTATCACGCTAGTCTCACACACTAGAGGTCCCCGGTTCGAACCCGGGCTCAGACATTTTTAATTCTTTTTTTTTTCTTGACGGTTAAGATTGCTATATTTTTACGATGTAAGCGTATGCTACATCCTCACTTAGAATCTTCAAAGCCAATTTGTGTTCATCTGCTTCTGCTGCCCTCAGTTTCAGTTTCACTTCACTTTCTTTGTCGGTTCGGTTATAATCAAGCATTTAACAGGTATCTGTTCTTTGTTTAAAAAAAAAAAGGTATCTTTTCTCTTTAACTGCCATTTTTCGATGTTTATATTATATTGTTTTTGGTACAATTAATCATTGCAAGTTGCAACAATTTGATTTTCTGAATTGGGTTTTGTGGATTGGGAAAGAAAAATGAAGTCCGGAAGAAAGGAAGAGTGAGAGGAGAGTGAAGATCGAACTCGTGGGGATTATCTTGGACTTTGCAAGAGAAAAAAAAAAGAGACAATTTTATAGGTTGAAATTGTCAGAAATGACGCAAATTCAATTACTCTCCTTTCCACACTGCAATCTAACTCCACCCAACCTCACGTCTTCTCCCCAAGTTTTCACTTCCTTTTCATCAAGACAACTTGCTGAACTTGTGGGCAATCAACATTTCCCATCTTGGTCTTTTAATTCACTCAAAAGGGTATCCAAATTTCAAACTAGTTTGAGAAAATGTGGTGGTTTGGTTAGGGTCAGATGTGGATTGGTGGAAGATGAAAGTGTTGATGATGGGTTTTATATGAGGAGGTGTGTGGAACTGGCAAGAAGGGCAATTGGGTGCACAAGTCCTAATCCTATGGTGGGGTGTGTTATTGTGAAAGATGGCAAGATTGTTGGTGAAGGGTTTCATCCTAAAGCTGGCCAGCCTCATGCTGAGGTAACCCTTATTCTCTTTCTATGCGTCTATCTTCACTTGTAAAGTGTATGGTTTTTTAGAGTAATGAAGGGACTGCCAAGCTGGAATGGTAAGAAAAATGAACTTAGAGCAAAATCACTGGATTAAGTTTGGTGTCCGGAGTGAAAAAGAGTCTATACTTCTTTTGTAATTTTTTTAAAAATAATGGAAAGAGTCTGTTGGTGATCCATGTTCAGTTGGCAACTTCATTTTATACTTTCTCTTTGGAATTTGACCATTCTTTCTTGCCTTTAGGAGTGCATATTAGACTAACCATTCTTTCTTGCTTTTAGGAGTGTATATTAGACTAAGTTCAGGAAATTATATTTGCAGGTTTTTGCTTTGAGAAATGCTGGGAATTTAGCTGAGAATGCGACTGCTTATGTGAGCTTGGAACCATGCAATCACTATGGAAGAACTCCACCATGTACTGAAGCATTAATTAAAGCCAAAGTGAAAAGGGTGGTGGTTGGGATGGTGGATCCTAACCCAATTGTTGCTTCAAAAGGGGTGGATAGATTAAGAGATGCAGGAATCAATGTGACTGTGGGTGTTGAAGAAAAGTTATGCAAGAGGCTCAATGAAGCCTATATCCATCAAATGTTGACTGGGAAGCCTTTTGTGACACTAAGGTGAGTTTCCTTTACCTTAGTTACAAGCACGAATTCGAACTGAATGTTTTCTTTTGCTGCCTTAAATATTTTGTTTGGCATATTTGCATGCACACACTGATACACTTGTTGCTCTGCATTTTCCTTAGAATCGTACTTGCCAATTTTCAAATTCTACCTTGATTTTAGCATAGAGAACTCTAACCAAAGGCCTCTCCACAATATCCAGGTATTCCCTCTCTGTCAATGGCCACCTTTTAGACCAGCTAGGGGATGGAGTCACACAGACTGGTGGATACTACTCAAAATTGTTGCAGGAATATGATGCAATAATACTTTCGGCCTCTTTAACTGAGAAGTTTTCAAGTCCTACATCACAGGAGCCTGGGGCCAATCAGCCTCTTCAGATTGTAATAGCAAGTAATCCTGGTCAACTTCCTGCTCCCTCTAAAGAAGCCTCTAAGATTATAATATTTTCAGACAAAGAGGTGGCCACAGAAGCAGATTTGGCTCAGAAAGGAATTGATGCAGTGAATTTGGATAGGATAAATTTGACTTCAATTTTGGAATACTGTAAGCGTCAGGGGTTCTGTAGCATTTTGCTGGATTTGAGAGGCAGCTTTGGTGATCTTGAGGAACTTCTTAGAGAATCTATTGAGCAAAATGTGTTGCAAAAGATAGTGCTGGAAGTGTTGCCATTTTGGGATGAATCAAATGGTGGAGTGTCACTAGTGGCATTAAATAGTTTGGTTAAAAGACTAGAAGTGAAGAATTTACAATCCATGATCTCAACTCAAAGCATTGTGCTTGAGGGATATCTTCAACATAGGTGATTACAACAATGCAACTACTTCTTATTGGCACTTGGCTTTGTTGGTTCATCAATGCCATGGGATTTCCATGTTCTAGATGGCAAAAGGCAAAAACAATGCCCAGCTACGGCGCGATGTGAGATATTTAGCCTTGAATTAATGTGAACATATTTCAAATAAGCACAGCCTTAAGAAATTTTCGGTTTCATTATGTGTTGGGCCAACCATTAGGTGAATGCTTGTATGAATGCCTCTTTCTTTTTCCATTTAATCTTGCTTGAATAGCCTTCTCTGTTGCAATTTCTTCTTTAATGTTTTTCTGCACCACGCTGCAAAGCTCATCAAGGGCTAACATTGGAAATGGCTCTTCAATAAGAACACCAACCTGCAACATGAAAGAAACTTAAAGACCAAAAAGAAAAACATACTACAATGTATAGAGATAATATCTAAAGAGATACATTCTTCTTCTATGCAGAATAATGAAGCAGCACTGATGAAAGTAGCAGGAACAACCATCCAATGGCAATCATCCCAGATTATGACGGGAAGAGTTAGATGCCAGAGGACCAAAAACCTTGATGTCAAGCGAGTGTATGATAGAGGGATAGGAATACCCGTGAGTTTTTCACATACACCAATTCCTTCATGGAAACATGAGATCTTCGACTCCTGGAATGAAATTAGATGGTAAACGTATTAAAAACAAACAAAGATAAAGAAATCTTTCATGACAATTTTGAGTTCATTTTTCTCCCTCTAACATTGGTGAAATGTAAAGTTCAAATGGTCCAAAAGGGGAGATACCAACATAGTTCTCTTTGATTCTTCTAAGTTCAACACTTCAAGGCTTTGAGAAATGAACTCGATTATGCAGCGTGGTCGATGCTTTGAATTCAGTACCACAGCTAAATCATCTACTTCAAGCAAATTTTGAAGATCTCTGCCCACATCCGAGCCACACATAACATGACACTGCAAACACGCCATCAATAATTGATCACTAACTTCAAATCAAATTCCCTCCTTCATCATACAAGCCAGTTATGAACTTGTTCAATTTATTTTTATTTTCTAATTACCCCATAATTAAACAAGAACACAAAAAAGAAGCTTCAAAGACATAAAGAAAAATACCAAACCAAACCCACCTTAAGTGCAACAGGAAAAGCCATAATATAGTGCAAGAGAGCACTTTTGATCGACTCATCACTCGAATTCTCAACCCAAGCAATTACCTGGCTTGCAAAATCATTTGTACCAGCAATTACCTTAGTCCAAGCTTTCCTTCCTTCTTCAAACCTTGAATACGAGGCCTCAGTTCTAAACACCAACAGCAAAGCCAATGCAGGCACCGTCAACTGATAAGGCAAAGAAGAAGCTCTCAAAACTGGGAAAAACCCAGGCAACCAATGCAAATCCGCGGCAGTGTTGTAACTGGCAATGACCACAGCTACTGAAGTAAAGGCTAAAACAGGTGGCACCAATGATAAGATGACACGTGACTGTAAACTGGAAAGTACATGCCGAAGATGACGTAGTGAACTTCTATGACGAACCCATTTTTCGTGGTTGTAAAGACCGCGGTTCTGTTGCATCCCACGCTCTTGAATACGATCCGCCCAGTCAAGGATAGCACGGAGGAGGGAGACAAGATTCAGGGTTTTAGGGGCGGTGAGGTTTGAGTTTGGTGGTGGTGGTGCTGGTTGGGAAAGAGAGGAAAGGATCTTGAAAGAGGGGAGTTGTTTGAGTTTGGTGGGAAGGGAGGAGTTAGGGTGTAACTTGACGAAGGGTTTGGGGGTGAATTTGGAAGAGAGGGAGAGTTTTGAAGGGTTCGAAGATAGAGCAATGATTCAGGGTTTGGAGGGAGACGGAAGCAGATGGACATGTTACCAAGTTGGGGCTTTCAATCAATGAGAAGAGTTGAAAGGTTCGGTGGGTAAGTACGTTCAGATGGAAGTGGCTGTTGCTTAATGTTTTGTGAAGAAGGTAGATACAAATGTCAAGGATTTTATTCGGATCAAACGAGAATACTTGGAAAAAGTAACCGTTACAGGTCCCTTATGAGAATTTAGGTCAAGGCTTTTGTGTGTGAGCTTTTGTTCGCACCCTTTTTCTAGAGCAATTTTAAATACCTTTTTTTTTTTCTCATTTAAAAAAAAAAACTCCTTAATTATTTTTTTTTCATTTTTCATCATACTCTTTTTATTTTTAAGTTCTTAAATTTGTAAATTTCAAAACGTAAAAAAATTTTCGAATTTACAAATTCAAAATTTTTTTAAAATTTTATGATTAAGTTATTCAAAGATTTAAAAATTTGTGTTTCAAAACATTAAAATTAAGAAAAAAATTTAGAAACTCCTATACATATTTTTTTTATCAATTTGTAAAAAAACTTGTAATTACAATTAGTGTTTTTTTGACGAAAATATGAAAAATTTTCAGAATATTTTTTTCAATTAATTTTTTTCCTAAATTTTAAATGTAATTTTTTAAAATTTACTTAATATGAAAAACTTGTAACTTATATAACTTATCAAATATACATATTCAATAAATTATAAAATTTATAAAAAAAAATACATATTCAAAAGCTTTAAAATTGATATGAAAATAATAATTAAATAATTTCACTTAAAAAAATTAAAAGAAAATGTCGAGAGATAAAAATTAAAGGTGTGTGTAAAATCTCCCTCGTATATATTCGTCTAGGAAATTCAATTCACTCATTTTATCAACGATTCTGGGACTGAGACTATTAATAGTAGTTTTTTATTTTAAGAAAATCATTTGATTTTTTTTTTTTTTTCATTTGCTATAAGAACTTAAGGATGTAAGAATTTTAAATGCTACTCAAATACTTGTTGTAAAAAATAATAGTATAAATATTGGTAAGAAACATTAAAAATAATGACGGATTGCTGGATTGGCATTGAAATTCTTTCTTCAAAAGCTGTATATACACACTACACGATCCAAAAATCCCTGTTGGAAACTCAAAGGGACAAAGGAAGCTTGGTCTCATATTACACGCTATTGACAAAAATCCAAAAAAAAAAAAAAATTTAATACACACAAAACTCATGACCGCTTTATTCTGGGGTGTTTCCTATGGAATAGACTATGGGTTTTCTTTTGCATTATTGGAACTCGGTGAACTTTCTAGATGTTTCTTTCCGTGATACCAATATAAACTCTTGGAGAGTTTTTTAATAAATGTAAATTATAATGCTCGTGAACGGAGGAAAACAACTTTGGCCTCTCATTTTTCTCTCTTCTCTGACAAAAAATAACGCAAGGGGAAGAAAATGTTTCTCCGTTCCCAATCAATATGAAGATGAAGAATTTGTTACATAAATGTCATGCACAATTGATCAAACCGAACAAAAAATGAATGAAAGAACTCTCACATACTCATAAGGAAACAAAAATTAATAATAGAAAAGGGAAAGAAACCAATGACTACACCCTGTCCAAATACCTTTTTCCAGATGATTCTCTCATGGCATTTTCCCGGGAAAATATTTGCTTTTGAATGGCTGAATTATGGAATGAATGATACTTGGTTGCACAGTCATTGTGGACTCCCAAAATCGATGCCAGGCGCTCATCTTCACAGTCCGTTAATCAGTATTTACTTTTTCCCAGCCCTTGAGCTTCTCTCGGCTTCAAGAGTAGCGCCTTCCTTAAGTGCTGTTTGAGACTCACTCTCCATTCCAAGAGCAGCAAGTGCAGTCGCCTGAAGATAGGAAGCAATGTGCCATACTGGAGAAATGACTTGGGCTTGCATTGCATCGTCTAGAGCTTCTTGAGGCATGTCATTAATAAGATAACATAGGCTACGCCGTGCAAAAACAGTTGGAGAAATCATGGTACCCACATCAATGAACTGTTAATTTGTAAAGAAACTGTCAACAGGTTTCTAGGTACCACAACCATTGGAAATCAAATACCAAGACCAACCCAAAATTAAATGAGAACAGCTAAATTTAAGTTTTTTATTTTTCTTCTTTTGCCAATAAGCTAAATTTAAATTTGTGGAGTCTGCACAAGTAAATAAAGAATATTCAAAGGATAGCATGTAATGTATAGATATTATCATGAAGTCACAACTAAGGATATTTAAATTAACTGAAAATATCATAGCAAGAACTTAACCTGAGAGTAACACTCAATTGCTTCTTTAAAATCTTTCTGCCTGAAAGCAGCATCACCTTTTTTCTTTGAATTCAAGGTTTCCTGCATTTGGTCAGTCCACATTTGGAAGGAGAGCTGCAGCAAAATGCAACTACAATTGTTAAGCAATGGCAGACAAGGGATTTGCATATTAGGCAGGAACCGAACAAGAACAACAGGTTACCAAGCATTTGCTAGTATTGGAAATTTGATTATTACGCACAATGTAAGCAAAACAGCAATTACAATTAAAAGTGAGAGACAGAGAGTAAAAGGTAAACTAAGTGAACACAAACCTCATTTGCCACTCCTTCATCATCTTTGTAGCCAAGTTTCTCTAAGATCTCGTGTATAGCAGTCAAGTCCCCTCTTGAGCAAGCCTCTCCAACTGGGGATTGGGGAGTGAAGGAAGCACTGTTTGGAATACCCATCAAGACATGTGAAGGAACCTACATAGAAAAGGAAAGAGTAACTCAGAAAATGCAGACATTTCCCCCTTTTTCTTAGTAATGCATGAACCTTGATGAAAAGAAGATTTCCTTATTAAACTCCAATGCTATCATCTGAGTCACATGCGAATGTAAAATATTGCCACTCAATGGGAAAATGAAAAATAACTTACATCAGTTTCCTTCTGAAGGGTTGTCAAAGCAGCAACTAAAGATTTAGAATTTGGCCGCTCTCTAGGTTCACATTGCAAACATCTAGAAGCCAAGCGGACTAGCTCAGTTCTATCATTATCAGAAAACTGCCCTTCCAAGCAGGAATCAGTCAACATCTGAAGATTTCTGTCTCGTATTAAGTCAAGTGCCTGGCACAAATTGCTTAAGCATTAGAAATCAAGGTGTAAAAAGTATTAAAATGTCAATATCATGACAACTACATTAAGAATTGACATTCAGGCGTATCCAGATGAGAAAAGAAACAAAACCAATGATTATCTTCACAAACAACCAACTTACATGGCTAGGAGGTATATGTTTTCCACTGAGAAGATCAAGTAGAAGAGTGCCGAAGCTATATATTACACTCTCTGGTGTTACTCTTCCTATATAACAAAAATAAGTCAGGTGAAAAGGAATCTTGGATAATTATGTATCAAGTACTAAAGTTCGTACCAGATAAATGCACAAGCATATTTAGCATCTCAGTTAACACTTTAAATCATGATGAATAACATCTTAGAGTAAAATCTAATTTACCATGCTGAATAGGGAGACAAGCTAGAATTTCATTGAGCAGTTATTGAATAACAATAAAATAGAATGCATTGTGCCAACAGCCACATGGTCCGTTGGTAGAGTACTGGACTTTTAGTTTTCAGTTACCAAAGTTCAAACCCTGATAATCTCAAATGCCAAAAAAAAAAAAAAGGAATGCATCATATAAAAAATATAGATAGTGTAAGTACCAGTTCTCAAATATTCAGGAGGAGTAAATGCCAAATTTGTACTGTAACTTTTTCCATCTCTACTGTTTTTCATCAGGCCAAAGGTTGAAAGCCTGGGATTTCCATCCTGCAAATTTCTAAATATAAATAGAGGTATAACATAAAATTTACCAACCAAAAATTATCAGACAACCAGATAATTAATTAGTACCTCATCAAATAAAACTCTGTAAGCATTGAGATCATGGTATAACGCACGCCCTTTGTTTGTGCAGTATTCTAAAGCTTGTGCAAGATGGAGTACAACCCTTAATCGCATAGCCCATTTCATTGGTTGGGTTTCCCCTGATTCAAGATCATAAAAGAATTATTTGAGACACTATTTCATTTTGGGACAGCATCCAGGACATATAAATTTCAAACCCATAGTCGAAATGTAATAATTAACCAGTCATCAGACCAGAGATATGCACAACCTTCCTGGCTCTACATTATCTTAAACACTCTATTTATTTACATTTAAGCATTTTCCAACGATTCTGCAAATCAGTTATCACAGGTTAAATAGAAAAGCAACATTAAGAGTGAATTCCAGAAGTTGACTTTATCTGATATCCAATAATAAAAGCAAAGATGAAGATGATAAGCCATACAATGAAAAAGGTGTTTCGCGAGTGTCTCATTGGGCATGTACTCTGCCACAAGCAACCTCTCATCACCTTCACAACAACAGCCAAGCAAATTCGCCAGTCTATTGTTGTGTAGCTGACCAACTGCTCTTGCTTCCTCCTACAGGTGCAGAACAAAATAGCCCCAAGTTATGATCATACACAGAAAGAAATGGAAGCAAAGCTCTGGTAAGTGCAAACTGTATTTAGTACTAACCAAAAACTGTCGTGAATCAGGCCAAGCCATCCTGTTGAAACGTTTAACAGCAATTCTCCTCTGATTCTCCAACTTCCCCCTAAAAACAACATTGGGAGCCTTCTCCCCATGCTCAGAAACAATATTCTCCACCGCAAATCCAGATGTTGCATTCTTGAGTTGCTCCAACGTGAATTCCCGAAACTCAGGCACGTGATCAACCTCACTCTTCTCCTCATTCTCTGCAACAAGTTCATCAATTTAACCAACCATTCCGATTCTCATCAATCAAAACATCTGCCAATGAAAATTCATAATAATACCCACCAGCATCAGGGGCTTCCAACACTGCTGCTTTGAACTGTGAATCCCAGCAACACGGCGTTAGCTTAGAGCACTGACACCCCATCGCAGTAACTTAAAAAAAATTATAATAAAATCGTTAAAATTCAAGCGTTAAACAATTAATCAAAAGCTGAATCGGAACTATATTCTCTACTTCATTTTTACCAATATATGTATATATAAAGAAGAAATAAAAATTGGATAAATTTGCAGGGCATTTAAAATGACGAACGAGATTAGTATTAACTACGAGGAATAACTCAACAGTAACTTTCCGAAAATAGGACTAATAAATACGAGCAGCCAAATAAAGAGAGAAAAAAATAAATTAAATACCTCAAAAGCGATTCCTCTTCTTTTCCGAGTCAACTCAGTTTCAGTGACGCTTCTTCTGATTTTTATCCTGGAGCCAATCAGATTTATCCTTGTCTGGATTAAATCAAACGCCACTTTTACAAGATCCACCAAATTCTCGTCCCCCTCTCTCAAATCACAATCAAAATCGAACCTTTTCAAATTCCTGCTTCCTCTATATCCTCGATCCAATAAACACTACATAAACTTTTAATAACTACAAAAAAGGAGATTATTGAGAAACTAAAAAATCAAATCGTAACGGACGACATGAACAATATTCGAAAATCTTAGAATGTTGATTGATAAAAATGGAGAGATGGAGATCAGATTCATGAACAGGGAAATTTGATGACATCTTTATGGGGTTTTTATTTGGGAGTCAGATGTTTGTTTAAAGCTAATAATAATAATAAGTTACCGACATGCCACGAAATTTTATTCAATGCCCTAGAATCTGGTTATTATTTTAATTAAAGGGAATTTTTTTTTAGTAACAAGTGTGTTGGAATAATTATTGACTGGGCGAAAAGGAAAATTATTTTTTTGTTTTAAATTATTTAAACTTCTTTTTAATTTTCAAATTTTTTATTTTTAAAAGAGAAGAAATAAAGAAATTGTAAAGTTGTACCGTCTATGATTTTGGATTATTCAGAGAATAGAACGGCTCTTGGCACTATTTTGCAGAAAACGTCTTCCACGTTTCATCATTCCATGCCTCCCGCCGTGATCATTTCAATTTGCGAGACTTTTAATTGGCTTTATTTGTCGGAAAGAAAGTTCCATAAGCGGTGCCGTTTTGAAATTTCCACTTTCAAGTTTGTCCTTGAAAATTGATAGTATTTTTTTTCTTATTTTGTATATACCTATAAAAAGCCTGGAAAAGTATGGGATCAACATTGCTTCATATTCCAATAGTGCAATTGGATCAACTTGTGATAATATTGAGCTGTGTGTAATGGAAATTTCACTCTATAATAATCTTGTGTTAAATTTTGAATTTTCTTTTTTTTTCTTTATTTAGATAGGAGAAAAAAAAAAGATTAGTAGTCATATCTCATAAATAATCAAACAAAATATATCGGGAAAAAAAAAACGAAAATTTAGTTGTTTAAATCGCAAAAGGAGAAAAGAAATTAAAGACATCAAAAAACAAGGAATTTCAATATAGTAATTGAAAAACAATAAAACAAAAATTCAAATACATGATGAAGAAGATTAAAGGGGCCCAATATCCAATCAGAAATGGCCCAATTTCTTGAAAACGGGTCAGGAGAATATCGGACCAAAAAGTTACTCCATATCCAGTGAGAAATGGCCTAATATTTTTGGTCCGGTGGATGTCGGCCCAAAAGAGTTGGTGACCCACGGGTTCACACTTCGCGACCCCGAATAAAATAACGTCAAGAGTCAAAGCAAGGGTTAGGGTTAGGGTTTAAGCAAAGAAGAGGAACAGCGATCCAGTCAGAGGCGGTGCCAACAGAAGGAGAAAATGTCGAAGAAGAATAATTTGGCTCGTAGAAAAAGGCAGCACGAATTCGATCTCCAAAGTACCAAATTCTTCAAATTTCTCCGCTCTTTCTGCTATATTTGATTTATTTATTTATTTCAGTGATTTATTATTATGTATTTGTTTTGGCAAATTAGGGGAGAAGGCAGAGAAAGAAAAGAAGGCTAAGAAGCTTCAAGCAAAGAAGAATAAGATGAAGGTAAGTCTTTTATTCTTTCATTGGTAAATAAATTTTATTATTTTTTTATTTAACAGTAATTTATTTTATGGGCAATTCTGAAATTCATTTAGGTTGATGGTAATGAGAAGAAAAAGAAGAAAGGTGGAAGTGGGTTCCAAGTAGGGAAGAGAAAATTGAAGACCAGGTTAACAGATGTGGCTAAAGCCAAAGCAGCTCAAGCTATGGAGCTTGACAAATGAAGCTTCATTCAAGTAAAATTTTGAGCTCATGGTTTTGTAATTTTAGTGGGAATCTGTAACTTTTTCTTGCTGTTAAATTTTGCTTATTGAGATAAAGTATTTGTTACCTTGATAATTTTTGGATAGTGTGACAGCATATTGTTGGTTAATGGTTAATGAAGCTGTTTCCATGACCAATTTTCTTACTAACATAAGTATGTGTATTAGTTTGGAATACACGTTTAAACATACAACATGATATCTTACCAATCCTTTGTTTTCTGATGGGTATATTTGCTTTTCTTGGATCATTTTTTTAAGAGCTGAGAAAATCTTGGGCTCTGTAACGCGTAAGGCTGCTATGCTTACATTGTACACATACAATGATGGGAAGGCCAGAAGATTGTAGAGGGTGAAGAAAAGGTAAATCTTTTTAGGATCCATTTGTAGATTTATATATCTGCTTAGTAATGAATAATTTGAGTTAGTCATGTTTATGACTTCACATTGACGTGAATCTGAAATTGTGGAAGTGGAGTTTCCATGTGATTGAAGAGGCCTCTTCATCTGCAATAATGAAGAGGCCACTTATTGCAGTTATGCAAGCAGTCAAATTATTAATGCATGCCTGCTGCTCTGTATCATCTTTCTCTGCCGTCCGGTGTTCTGGTTGCCTGGTGGGTTTGTAATAGACCGTACTGAGCTTTGAAATTTGCACAGTCCAAGACCTGCCTCCACGCCAGAAGATTAATCAATAAAAAATAATGTCCTTTTTACTTTCATCAGTACTCAGTCACCCCTGCTTAGGAACAAGAAAGGTAATGAAAGATGCAAGGGGGAGATGGAAATCTGAATGGTGAATTGGTCTTAGCACTACAATGAAACAATACGGTTCAAACTTGAAAGCTTTAGATTAAACATTGAGCTGAATGAAACAAGCAAACAAACTAGCAAAGCTCTTATGTCCTTTCACCTTTGACCATATTAAATCTTTGGAATTCGCTATGCTTCCTTTGTGACAATTATTGGCAGGTTAGGTGAAATTTTAGTACTTGATAGTCAAAGTTTGGCCCTGAAAAAGAAAAACAAAAAAAAAAGAAAAACGTGTATTAATTGTCATGGGTCATTACATTGGTACTAAAGTGTCTGGACCTGCCGACTTCGTATCTTAAGTTTAATAAATTGGAACCAATTTCAATGTTAATAGTTCTTGATCTAATTTTCCTTTTTTTATTCATTTTTCTGAAATCTAACCTTTATTTTTCCTTTTTTTTAATCGAATTAAAAAAGTAATAGCAATCAAAGAGTAAAACATTATTCTCTCTGTACCATTTTTTTATCCATTTTTTTTTTTATATCTAAAATTTTTATTTTTATATTTTAAAATTATTTTTTATGATTTTTTATGTTATAAATCATGAATTTTTAATTCTGTAAACAAGTTTTAAATTTTAATATTAAATATATTTAAATTAAAGATTTTTTTAAAATCCATAAAATTAATACATAATAAATATTTTGAGGTAGAGAGAGTAAAATAGTGGTGGGCAGAATGATATATTTTGTAGGAAATAGAGGATGTAAGCATTTGCCTGTCAATTGAGGAAAAATGATAAGGTTACATATCTTATTGTCAAATTATGTCTTTTTTACAGTATTTTCTTTAACTGTCTTTTAAAATTAATCTCTATGTTTGAATCAATCATAGGCATTCCAAAGTCTTTCATCATTATCATTAAAGTTGAAATGTTCAAAAGAGTGGGCCGCTATGAATTTCCAACCTCTTGACTTGAAATCTTCTATCATTAGATATTTTTAAAAATTCAATACAATTTCATTTTTCACGAACAATTGTCAGCTCATTGTGTTTATTTTAATTGATAGCTATATTACGCCCTTAAAAAAATAAATTAAAGGTTTGGAATTTAAGCTACAATTTATTAGTTATTAGTTTTTAAAATTTATTATATAAATTATTTGAACTAAATTTATATTTTTATTGTATGCGAAAACTCCAACTCAAATAAATTTATTAAGCAAATGAAATATATATACATTTATATAGCTTAAAGACGGTAAAACGTTTTATTTCTTGCTTTTCAAATTTAATCATTGAGGTAATTAAGCATTCTTTTAATGGTAAAGAGAAAATTTTAAAACTTTCAAGATTTAAGTTTAAGTTTCATTATAATTTATATATGAGTTTAATTCAATTTTATGTATGACTTATTTAATTATATTTTAATTTATTTATTTGATTATTGAGTAATTTTGTATATATAAACATAATATTTGATTATGATTATAATTTATATTATTAATTTAAAAAATATGATCATTTAAACGGGACTTTGAACATAAGAATGAACCCAAAATAAAAAAAAAAAAAATTAAATGAATACTAATTATTTTTAACAATTCCCTAAGGAAATAGTAAACAAAAAATGCAACTGTAAAGAAACCGGGGCATCCACCATGGATCACAGTTCGAGGTGCTTTGTTGTGGTTCTTGATCCTAAGTTTGACCTAATATTAATAATTTAATTTTATACTAAAAAAGGTTGCATTAAAATAATCACCTACAAAGTCAACCTTGATCCATAAGGTGGAAAAGAGTAAAAAAACACAATGGATATTTATTTTATTATTAAAAAGAATTATAATAAACTAAAATATGACAATGTAGCATTCATTTTTTTTCATTTTATTATTGTATAAAATATATTATCGTATTAATTAAAAAAAGATACTATATAATACTCAAAATTGAAATCTTTCACAAAGAGGATAGCCTAAATTAGAGATGGAAAGAGACATTTTATGGGATGTTTTCTATCCGGGCAATGAATATGCCAAACAAATTCTAAATTTTTGTGCCTAACGAGGCCATTTTCTTGTCTAATATTGTGGCCCTGTCTTGTCCTTCCATGCAGGAAAGGGGGGGAGAGGGTGAGCTATCAAATTGATAGAAATGAATTCAATCTTAAAAAGGATTAATTAAAATAATTACTTAGCTTCTTTTAATGAAGAATTGGAACATATTTATGGTATTTTGCAATAAACAATGCTAAATTTAATATTATTTTTGGAAAAGAATCTAAGAAAGAAAATGACAACATTTGGTTTTATGAACTTGTCTTTAATTAACCATTTTTTTAATTATTTCAAGAATACATTATTTTGTATTATCAAAATTATAGTATTTTATGTTAAGATAAATACCCAATCACATCAAAATAAAATGATTAAAATGTACACAAATCGACATATGTTACAGTTATTTTTACATATAATTAAGGCCAATCAATGATGAAAAACATAGAAAAAAAATTAAGTGGTGTTTGCTAAATTTGCATGAAAATATATGATTGTATATTTTACTATATATGTTTGGTTTGATTTAAGATGGGTGAGCAGTGAGCACCGTGTGGTGATGTTATCAATGCTTCGAGATAGATATTTTTAGGCTGATGGTCTACACACAGAGCAATGTTAGTGGTAAACAGAGAAAGGTCACATGCAAACAAGCCTTTTCCTCTTTTCTCCACCATCCCACCAAACCCATTTTCCATCCCCTCGTGCCTGCTTTCCACGCGCTCCTTCCCTTCGCTTTAATTTCTTCCAGCTAGTCAGCTAGAATTTGAAAGAGGAAAAGGTAAAGATTGAATAATACTACACGTGATATAACTGCGCGTGGGAGGTGGTGGTAGACAGCTTTTTTTTTCAGACAGTATTCAATATTCAAAATTCCAACTTCAAACAAAGAAATAAATATCAATTAGGATTAGATGATTATCCAGGAATAAAACGCTTTATTTTCTGTTGAATTTGTCTGTTTGTTTGCTTGTTTTTCTCTCTTTTTTTCCCTCGTTTACAAAAGCCTCTAAGTTTAACTCTTTTTAAGTTTTAACTCAGTAAAGCAAAGCAAAGCATCATCACTCACTCATTCGTCACTTGAGAAGAAGATGAGAGAGAGACAGAAACCAAAGATAAAGATAGAACCTTTTTAGATATCAAGAGAGAAAGAGAGAGAAAATAAAGGAAAGATAAACAGCTTTTATTATAGTGAAGAGAAGGAGAGAGAGAGAGAGAGAGAAAGAGAAAGCTGTGCCCTAGAAATATGCATCCCGATAAGGACTGGTGTATGCAAAGGAGCTTTTTGTAGTAAGTAATAACAAACGCTTTCTTCCCACCTTCACAGCTAAAATGGCCTCTTTTCTGCATTTCTCAGTCTGCCTTTAATTTCCTTAACCTCTTCACTAAGACTACTTCACTCTCTTTCTTTTTTGAAAAAAAAATAAAAAACCCATCTTCTTCAAAGTTCTTACTTTCAAAAGGTTGGACCTTTAACCCCAGTTCACTAATGTAAGTTACTTTATCTTTCTGGGTTTTTTTCTTTCAGAAAAAAGAGCAAAAAAATTTTACCCATTTTTGCTTAGTTTTTGAAGATAATTTTTGTTTCTTCTTTCAACTCCGTTTGACTCTTTTATGGCATTGGCTTCAGCTTTTGTCTCTTTTTTTTCTTTTTTTTTTTTTTTCTTAATTATGTATGTGTGTAAATCGTTTTCTTTGGGTTGTGATTCTGAAGTATGTTAAGTTCTGAGGGTTTGCTGTGGAAGATGCTTGGTGTTAAAGGTATATAGGGTTGGTGAGAGTGTGGACCTGGTTTTCAGTTTCAATCTGCTTCTTTATATCTTTAATATGAAGCCTTTTGCTTTGTTTCCTGTGGTTTGGTAAGCTGTAAAATAGCTTGCATTTTTGTCTTGTTCTCTTTCAAGTTCCGAGCTTTTGATATTTCAACTCTTTTTTCTTCTTTCTCTATGTTTTTCTGTTGGCTGCTTTTAGATTCTTGGTTTTGCTTTTTCCGTTTATAGCCTTGTAATTTCTTCCTTGGTGTTTTACTTTTACTAGTACCTCTCTTATTACTTTAGAACTGTTGCGAATAATTTGACGCTTCATTTTCTTTCATGTCTAGATCGAGGAGCTTCGTTTATAAAGCTAAATGTATCCCTTTGGTTTGTGTTATGGCTCAATTCCTTGACCCATGCGTCTGTGAATTTTGTTTTGTTGGAATATGAAGCAGGAAACAAGTTCTTCTTTGACTTGTTATAATCTTTCATATGGCTTGTTCTATTCTATCTCTTTTCATGTTGTTTCCAAGATCTATATGCTTTCCAACTGTTTAGTGGGTCACAATTTAGAGCTTCATGAGTGCTTTTTCTATTATTTTGACTTTGCAATTTGAATGGAGTGTTTGGCTTTGCTTTGAACTTAAGAACAGATAGAGCTATCTTTTTAGTTACCTTAAATTAGCTTGTAAGTTGATTTGAAGGCACATTCAAGTATAGGTTATTGGAGGTAAATGCATGGATCGAAGGGATGCTATGGCATTATCGGGGTCTGCATCTTACTATCTGCAACCAAGAGGAATAACTGGGTCAGGGTCTGGAACACAGTCTGGGATGCATGGATCACCAGGCATTCATCCACTATCTAGTCCAAATGTACAATACCAATCAAGTATTAGTGCCACTACTATGGGATCAACCTTACCTGTAGAGTCTGCATCAGGAATTACCCCTCATAGTGTCAATGTAGGCACACCTTCAGCTGTGCCACCTAGTGAGACTGTGAAACGTAAACGAGGAAGGCCCAGAAAGTATGGACCTGATGGGACCGTTTCATTAGCACTGACTCCTGCATCAGCTACTCATCCTGGGACAATAACACCAAGCCAGAAAAGGGGGAGAGGGCGGCCACCGGGTACTGGAAGGAAGCAACAGTTAGCCTCCCTTGGTAAGATATTTTACCTATCTTTTTTTTTTTTTTAATGCGTAGAGCTTGGTTAGGTGGATTGTAACTTGTAGTGGCACTTTAACTTGGTGGAAATAAGCTTTTTTTGCAATTTTTCTTGTTGCATAGGATAAAAGAATTTTGCTGTGTCCACATATTTTAATCTGGTTTATGTCAATGCTGTCATGACTTCGTCATATTGCCAACTGATCTGATTTCGAATTTTTACTGGTTTATTTAAATGGTTAGCTCATTTGTGCTTATTTAAGGTGGAGTAGGGTCAGAATTCAGAAGCTTCTTCCATTATAAATGAATAAAATATTCCATTTCAATTTAAAAAAAAAAAAGAGCCTATTGGCCTGACTATAATCCATGAATTTGTCCATTTTCAGTCTGAAATTTTGAAGCAAAAAAATTTCAAAAGCAGTGGAAATTTAAAAGAACAAAATTAGTGCAGGAGAAAATTAGAGGAGCAAAATTTAGAGCTTGTCTTGAGAAAGGGAATGAATGCAAAAAGAAAAGAGAAGCAGAACTCAGAGTGTTGCAAGGAGATTAATAAAATTACATTTATGATTGGCTCTTATCAAATTGGATGCTCAGCCGTGTATATAGTTGGGAACATACTGACAGTAAAACTTGTAGACTTTAAATAAGTGCCAGTGACATATAATCAGGACATAAATATTCAAATTGCAAGTTTCCATTACTAATAACTTATCCAATCCATATAAGCTGAAATTTCATTCTCCTTGGTGTATGAACATGTAATCTGATATTGCTGCTTGCAGTTTAAGTATGCATGCTTATTAGCTGGATTTCTAAGCCTTTTTTAAAGGTTACCTTGAGTTATTTAGCTTTGCTTATCAGTGCGTAATTCTGGCATATTTTGTTATTGCTATGTGAATGATGGTGAAAATATCTAATTGTTTTGCTAGGTCAATGGCTGTCTGGTTCAGCTGGGATGGGTTTTACTCCACACGTCATTACCATTGCTGTAGGAGAAGTATGCAATTTTCTTTTATTAATTAGCACCTGGGTCTCTACCCTCTAAAATAAATATACAAGAAACTTTGATTTTGTACAGTGGCTACCAGCAGCCAATCGGTACTGTGATAAGGAAAATGCTGCTTGGTCTATATATATAGTTTCCTTGACTTTTTATATTTTTATGAACTGGAAGTGCCCAGGATTTGTTCATTAAAGCATGATTAGACATTGATTGCAAATATGAGGAAAAAGTTTGAACAGTAACTTGCTTTGTTTCACTATCTCCTTGCAAAACTGAAAATAACTTTCCAGAGTTAGATTATAATATGTTGTCATTTATAGAGAATTAATGAACGAAAAATATTTAGCCTAGTTGTCCATGCTCTTCTTTATGCCTTTTTCATCTAATAAAACATTCTTGTTGATTGTCTTATGTATCCTTGTATTTTCAATTTACTGAGGCAGGCTATCTCTTTCAGCTATGTGATCTATGAGGGAATTAAGTTTTTCTTAAGATTTTACTCTGTTAACAAAAGTAGATATTCTGTTTTGAAGTATTAATTGTTTAAATGTGGTACTATATCTTTTGGCAGGATATAAGAAAGTTCTTTTGTCTTCAAATTACTATTTAACTTTTCGTGTAGGATATTGCAACAAAAATAATGTCATTTTCACAGCAAGGGCCAAGAGCAGTATGCATTTTGTCAGCCAATGGGGCTGTCTCTACTGTAACTCTTCGTCAGCCATCATCCTCAGGTGGCACTGTCACATATGAGGTTTGAGCACTCAATAACCTCCTGATTCTTGATTTCTTATATTGTTTTATGGCAGTCAGGCAACCTAAGAATATTTTGCTGAGGAATTTTGAGGGAATTTAGGTTTGCCTGTTACTGGCTTATTCCTGTGAATTTGGCAAAACTAACTTGGATTGCATTTAAACACGCGCGCACACACACACACACATATATATATGCTGTCAAATATTGTTGCAATTGTCAGTAGTTTTATGACTACCATTTAACAAGTTTTTCAGTTCGGACATATTAACCTTTTTTCCTCCTCATTCTGAAACTCTTATCCTGACATCTGTAGGGGCGATTTGAGATATTATGTTTGTCAGGCTCTTACCTGCTGACCAGCAATAGTGGCTCTCGCCATCGAACTGGTGGTCTTAGTGTTTCCCTAGCCAGTCCTGATGGCCGGGTCATTGGTGGAGGTGTTGGAGGAATCCTTATTGCAGCAAGCCCTGTTCAGGTAACTCTTTGGTTGCCGTAATATCTATGATGTTATTTGTAATTCCCATTTCTAATTGCCGATTTATCTATGTTAATTATACCTTTTATGGGTTAGTACTAGCTCTTTATGCATCCTGCTGGCATTGCATATAAGGGTTAACTGAGATTGGGCAGTTCCACAGTAATTTGAACAGTGTTTTTTCGGCTCAAATTAATTCTGCCTGCTTCATTTTGTGTCTGAAACGTTAGGAAGCTACAATAATAACATTACAAAGGGTAAATCAGTTAAACTTACCATATGCTTTAGGCTATAATACCGGGGCATTTAGTTATCTATCATGAGCATGCAATTGAACTTGATGAATCATCCTTTATTATGTATCTTAAGTGAATGATGCATGAAGCAGGTGATTGTGGGAAGTTTTCTGTGTGGTGGTTCAAAGACAAAGAACAAGAAGGGGGGTGGTCAAGACGGTCTAAAAGACTCTGATAATCAGAGTGTTGACAATCTAGTAGCTCCTCCTGTCGTTTCGCCAAGTCAAAATCTGACTCCAACTTCGCCGGCAGGTGTATGGCCTGGGTCACGATCAATGGATATGCGAAATACCCACGTTGACATTGATCTAATGCGTGGATGACTGTTTACTCTAATAGTTTCATGAACAATGTATATAGTTTGCTGTTGAAGGCCACCTGATTGTAATTTGAAAGTCCTATGGTTTGGACAAAATAGAGGCCAGGCCAGCCTGATTTTTGGCTCCATGATTCTCACTTAATTTACCCTTGACTATGACAGACAATGGGATTTGTTCTGATATTTGTAGCTTGATGACAGTTAAAAATTTTAGCGCTCATGATTTTCATTTCTCTAATTTGAACCGGTAAGATTGCCTCACTTCGCAGTATAGGCAGCCATGGTATCATGCTCGTCGTCACGCTCATCCACCACCATGGCAACGACTCTGCGCCCATTACCGCATACAGTGATATTGTCGATTGTGGAAGCTTTCTGCTTGTTAAATCATACCGTTGATGGTGCCACAATTTTCAGATAATCAGAGTTGAACTTTCTGTCACGTTCCGATGAGCCACCACCATCGGCTCCTTTCTGGAAGCTGTTGAGAGTTAGAACTGCCTTGGTATGGCCGGTCTCTCATGTCGAGCATTTGTAGGTTGTGCAAACAGCAGCTTCAACTCAACAGTCAGAGTCATTCTTCATGTTGCATTTGTCTTTAGGACGATTTTGACCCCTTGATTTTGCCACTAGGCTTACTAATAATGCCACCTTCGGCTTTAGGTACCCAATACAACCGGCTCATTTTCTTCTTCTTTGGGCTTTAGGCATCAAATGGAGAAGCAGAAATTACAGTTAGAACCTTTGAACAGCACTGGCGAACTTATTGAGTTCACCCAGACTCTCATCTTTGATTGTCTGGTGATTATTTTTTAATATTTATTATGCTTTTCTTTCTGATGAATTTGTGCTGCGATTCCTATGGATTATTCTTTTTTTTTAGTTTTTGATCTTTTATTTTATTTTTCATTTTAATTTGATGTTTAATTTTTGTTTTAAAGTTAATTTTTCTTTTTTAATGAAAGCTAAGTGACTTAATTGAATTATTGAGTTGATATGGTGAGGATGATTATCTAATACGCACATGTTTAGAAAAATAAATATGAAATCTGGTGCTTAAAAATCTAATTTTTAGGATGATTTTAATATAAATTTATTAGAAGATTAAAAATTTTTATTCGATAATCTAAAAAAATATTATAAAGATTACTAATTAAAGAAAGAATCTTATATAAGATCATATCCATGATAATCTTAAATATTATTCTGATTACGATATCATAATCTATATATTAATTTTCGAAAATAAAATTTAAAGATATCACATCCACGTAATTCAAGACGGATCTTATCAAATCGCAAATCCCATACAGTTCAGGGAGAAAACTTAGTCCCCCTGATAGAATTAGACAAAATACCACCTCTATTTATACTCTAAATAGTCTGGCTTTTAGCCATCAGTATTCGACAGAGCTTTCATTTCACATAATAATATTAACACCATGTGATCATCCATGAAATCTAGAGTCTTGAAGATAAAAACTTCAGACAATGAAATATTTGAGGTTCAGGAGGCGGTAGCCACCATGTCTAAAACCATCAAAATCATGGCTGAAGACGACTCAGGTGAGGTGATTCCAATTAACAACGTTCACAGCACAATCTTTGCTAGAGTGATTGGGTGGTGCAAGAAACATGTTGAGGATGGTGAAGACTTGGAGTACTAGAAGGGGGCACTTAAGAATTGGGACGCTACGTTCTTTGAAGTTGATCAAGCTGTTCTTTATCATCTTCTCACGGCTGCAAACTACCTTGATATTAAGCCTTTGCTCCATCGAGGATGTCAAAGGTTTGTTGACATGATTAATGGGAAAACCGCAGAGGAAATTCGTCAACTTCTTCATATCAAGAATGATTTTACTAATGAAGAAGATGATGAAACTCGTATGAAGCTTTGGTTTTCAGTTCTGGGCATGAATTCTTTTATCCTTTTTTAGAGCTTTTTGTTTACTGTAACTTTCTTAGTTTTTTTCTTTGGTTTTGTGTCTACTTTCCCTAGTCCTTAACTATTTCCAAATAATTGAACATTGTTATGTTGGTGTTTCTTCCATTTTTTTCTTCTTCTTTTTATTTTTCTGGTAAAGCAATTGATGATTTTATTGAAACAAACAAAGGGAGGGTTCCATTATTATTTCAAAGTGATCAACAGCATCATGATTTAAATCAAGAAATAGAGACGAAGAGCTCAAAGCTATATAGTATAATAATGAACTATGGAATATTTTAAGAAAAGAAACGAGTCAGACAGGGCTTGTTTCTTCTAGCCCGCTCCACTTTTGATGGGTTAAACAAGCTTTAATGGACCTGTTTCACTTAATTCACGAGAAAATTTTGGATTTGGGCTATATTAAAACAAAATCCTCCCTGCTCTATGAAGTTGGGATTCCGGACAAGTGGGTTGGGCCGGTTTTAAAACCTAAATTGAGCTGTTGTCTAATTGAGGAGAATTATCATCTGAGCAGAACCAACGTCTTCGTTTTTCAATCACCTTTTCAATAACTATAACAGACCTAGAAAAACAAGAGGAGAAATTCTCTCAGCCAATCCCTGTTCTGGAACATTCACTCCGTTGTATTATGTGTAAAGAATTGACAGGTCACAGGCCAAAAGCGTTCTGATAATTATAACGAAGATATCATTTTATACTGACTATTATAGGCAATGATCAGCATAACCGCAATGTTGCCAACTCTTTCACTCTTGAACAAGGTTTTAACTGCATGCACAGAGTCTTCTTCACTACAATACATCATAATATGCAATATGGTGTCCCCTAAATTGACCAGTAACATGCGGCATCATCATAATGTGAAGCTTGCGTCGTAATCTGGTGCTAGAAAACGTACATAGAATGACTCGACCAGGATGAACATCTAACAGAGATACTCTAGAGGACTTTTCAATAATTACAAAATTAAGGTGTATGCATCATGATTCATGCCTGGCACACGTGTTCATTATGCTAATTGTATCAAATTATTTGAGGATCTTTGAAAAAGTTACTGTGATGTTGTTTCTAAGTCTGCTCATCTCAACCAAATTTTATTTTTCAGTTTGGCCTATATAACAACTGAACAAAATTTTCTGACCAGTTAAAAACAACATTATCCACTTAATTTAAAATGTTTTTTCGCATGTTATGCTTATTTTTGGCTCTTTCACTCGGTTGTTTCCTGTAAAGGAATTTCAGGCTGAAAGAATCTTCTAACCATGTCCAACATCCCTTTTCCTTATAGCATCAACGTAGCAGAATTGCAACATTCTTGTTATCTCTTTTACTCTTACACGGTTCTTACTTCGTCTAGGAACAAGCACAATCATAATTTAAATTTCCCTGTCTCCAAACCAGCGACCTGGTTATATGACCTTGCACATTTTATTAACTCTATCATAAGTCTTAGGCAGGCTTTCCAGACAGCCTTTGAGGCATCAACAATGTTGTTAGCACAAGGAGGTTGATAATCATGTTAGTCGTCACATCCCATCGTGGATTCACACTCATCCACCACCATGGACACCACGCTGCGCTCATTACCCCTTGTAGTGTTGTTGTGGAAGCACCTCTTGTTTTTGTTGAACCACCCTGTTGACAGCCCCACAATTTTCAGATCATCTGAGTGGAACTTCTTGTCATATTCTGATAGGCCACGGCGATCGGCTTCTTTCTCGAAGCTGTTAGAACTGCCTTAGTATGGCTAGTCAGTCACTTGTGTCAAGGATTTGTAGGTTGTGTAAAGCTCACCTTCGACACAATAGTCAGTCATTCTTCCTGTTGCTTTGTCTTTAGAAGGATTTTTCCCCTTGATTTTGCCACTAGGCTTGCAAACTTTAGGTGCCCAATAAAATATGCCACCTCTTTTCTTTTTTTCTTTTTTTTTGGTTATAAATATGTAACTAATATTAGGTACTCATCCTTATTACCAAATCAACTCTCTAATCCCCATAACCTCTGATTAATTTATCTAAAAATAAATAAATAAATTATCAAATAAATTATGAAGTTTTTCACAAATAAAATTTTAAAAAATGACAGATATATCTTAAAGTATATTTAAAAAAATATATTCACTAAAAATAAAAATAAAATATCTGTTAATCTCTTAATATAGCTTGTGAAATTAATAACTTACATTAATAATGTATTAAATACTAACTCTTATCAAAGCACGTATTTCCAAAGTTGATTCAACATTTAATAAAAAAAAGGAAAAGAGGAAACCCTTCTTTGAACTCCTTTTATGCTTCTTTTGGCTTTAGGCATTAAATGGCAAAGTAGAAATTATAGTTACAACAAAAATATTTAACAATAATGGAGAGATTTATAATAAGGGCATCGAGTCAAACCTTTGAAGAACACTGGCGAATCTATTGAATCCATCAAGACTTTCATCTTTGATTGTTAGGTGATTATTTTTAATTTTTGCATTACTTTTCTTTCCATTGAATTTCAAAATTTGTGCTGTGATCCCCATGGAAAAAATTCTTGTCGTGATTTCATTCTATGAATTTTCTTTTTTAGTTTTTGATATTTTTAGTCTAATTTGATGTTTAATTTTTGTTTTAAAGTTAATTATTTATTTTTAATGAAAGTTAAGTGAGTTATTAAAAGTTGATTAGAGCTAGATGATTATCTAATCCGCACATATTTTTAGAAAAAATAAAAATAAAATCACTACTTTAATGGTGCTTTAAAATATATTTTTTAGGATGATTTTAATATAAATTTGTTAGAAGATTAAAAATTATTATTCAATAATCTGAAAAAAAATACTACAAAGATTCTATTAATTAAGAAAAAAATTTTTATACAATATCGTAATCTAATCTTAGATATTATTCTGTCTATAATATCATAATCCACGCATTAATTTTCAAAAAAAATAAAATTCAAACATCCAACCCCTATATAATCTGAGGGTCGGGTCTTATAATTTCGTAAATCTCACACAGTTTAGGAGAGAAAAACCTAGTTCCCTTGATAGAATTAGACAAAACCTAACTCTATATATTCTGGCTTTTAGCCATTGATAATCGACAGAGCTTTCGATTAGCATAATAATATTTAGTACTATGGCATCATCCAAAAAATCTAAAGTTTTGAAAATAAAGACTGCAGACAATGAAATATTTGAGGTTGACGAGGCGGTGGCCACCATGTCTAAAACCATCAAAATCATGGCTGAAGACTACTCAGGTGGTCTGATTCCACTTAACAACGTTCACAGCACAATCTTTGCTAGAGTGATTGAGTGGTGCAGGAGACATGTTGACAATGGTGAAGACTTGGAGTACTACAAGGGAGCACTAAAGAATTGGGATGCTACGTTCTTTGAAGTTGATCAAACTGTTCTTTATCATCTTCTCACGGCTGCAAACTTTCTTAATATTAAGC